CTTTTAAAACAGGGAGGGACACAGAAGGTGAATAAAACAGGGTTTGTGAGGCTCCCTTAGAGGTGGCAGTGCTTCAAGGCAGCAGCTGTCCCAGAGCCTCCATGTCCCAACTTCTTGGTTTTCACAAGAGCAAACCCTGCTTCTGCCCAGCCACAAGAATTTCCACTCTGAGTCAGGCTGGCTTTTTCCCTCCAGCTATTGCTCTTGCATAACGCAGCCCAGTCGGGCATGGTGGCTGTTCATCTGGGCTCTCATGGAGAAAAGCTGACCATTAACTAATCAGTGAAGCCATTTGAACCATTTTACCCTCTGGCATAAGCAGGCAGTAGTGCAAGCTAAGCATTTTATTAAGGAAACCCCAGTGAACTACTCAGTTCTCTAAAAGGGGCATGGATGCTCCTGCCCTTCCCAGGGTGAGCTGTGCTGGGAAGGGAGAAGAGGGCCAGGGTGGCTGAGGATATGTAGGGGGGGCTGGGGGTCAGTGAGGCAGAGGGGAGGCTGCCCTGCCTTGGGACGGGAGAACAGTGTCTGGACTTACCCAGCCCCATGTGAGGACAGTCTTCTAATTCCAGAAATGTGGATCCAGTTCATTTCATGTGAAATGGAGTTCATGCTGCTGTCAGAGAGGTTCCCTGGCAGAAAGGATCTCCCTGCCTGGAGGTAGTTTCAAGGTGCAGAGAAGTGTTAGGAGGAGGAGGAGGCTTCACACACAAGCTTCAAACCCCATAGATGCCTCTTAATGCCTCAGAAAAGACTCCTGGTGGGAGATGCTTTCTCAAATGGCAGAGCCTTTACGCTAAGTGTGATGGAGACCTCAGCCCTTTCTGAGAATTGAATTTCCTTTCCTTCGGGGTGATGGGCGCTGCCCACTTTCGCTGGAAGCATTGGTGATGTTGACTTTCCGACAGCAGCTGTCATGTGCTTGCTCAGACTGAGGTGTCCGTTCCACAAAACACACATGGCAGGTAGTGTGGGACGCTGAAAGCCACCCCAGCTGAGGGGCTGCACTAGGGCCATGTGTAAACCCGGGACAGCTGTGCGCTTTGATTTGGTTTTGCTGGGAAAAAGGATTGTTTTTCCAGAGATTTGGCCTGATGGACTCAGCCCATTCAGGGAAAGCTGGGAAACCTCCTGCTCGGTCGCCTTGTGTGAGTGGGGAAGCCTCATGTGCTGCTGGAGTGTCACAGTGGGACTCACCTTTGCTTTGTCTTGTTCAGGAGTTCAAGGAGGGTCGCCGGGCCAGTCACACAGCCCCACAGGTGCTCTTCAGCCACAGGGAGCCACCCTTGGAGCTGAAAGACACAGACGCAGCCATTGGTGACAATATTGGCTACATCACCTTTGGTAAGCAGGCAGCTCTGGGCCTGGGGGCACTTGGGGAGGAGAGGGGTTCCTGCTGCTGCATGCAAAACAAAAAGAAATTAACCTTCCTGGAGTGTTCAAGTGGGTCACTGGGGGCTGAAGACAGTCAAGAGTTGCATTCTGTGTTGTCTGCCTCCTTCAGTGTGTCCCTTTGGTTTATCAGGTCACCTCCGCTCTGCTGTGGCCCAGAAGGCATGGAGGCAGACAGTGAGCCACTTAGTGTCTGCCTACAAATTAAGTTCAGCACCTGAGAGCAAGGGAAAGGTGGTTTTGCTGTGATGCTGTGGAAACTGGAGGTTTCTTGCGGGAGAATTCATGCAACTGTATTTGAAGCTTGTCTAGTTGCAGGCACTTGTGCAGTCCTTGATCAGCAGAGGCAATCGGAGAGCAGGAACAGGGCAGTGAGTTCTGCTTCTCCAGCTCTGCCTCTGCTCTGGGCCAAACACTTCCATCGCTGATGAGCCACTTTCCCCTGCCTGCTGAGGTGCTGGCCAGCAGAGTCATCACTTCCTCCTGGGCAGCGATGCTGTGGGCTGAGCTGAGGAGTCCAAACCCTGACCTGTTCAAAGGGAAAGGTCTCTTCTAGAGAAATTGGGGGTCATGGTGGGATGTGCCGTTCGGGTTTCTCAGGCTGGCATTCCTGCAGTTGAGAGCTCAGGGGTGGAGCACAGACACTGCAGGGGAAGGTGAAGTTAGCACTGCCCTCCCGTGCTGGGGTTAGGGCAGCTCATCAGCTATAGGAGGGCTGTTCAAGGGCAGCTCTGAGATGGCAAGCAAGACTTCATTCTTGTTGAGACTCAATTTCCCTGTTATCTGATCTGACGGTCCCAGGTGAGATCATCACCCAGACAAAAAGGTCTTTCAGCCTTCGGATCTGGGACGCTTGGCATGGCACCAGCCTGTGGAAAAAGTGAGCCACCGGGCCCCTGCCGTAACCAAGTCTGCCTCTGTCATGGGGCCGGCAAGCTGCCAGGCCAGGATCAACAACTGATTTCAATATCCAAGGGCAGACTGGATCTTGAAATCGGTTAAGCAGCCTGGCTGCCCTTGTCTACCTCCCAGCTCATTTCAACTTCCCAAGCACTGAAGTAGCATCATGCAGTTTCCTACAGTGCCGTCATCTCTGGGCACTTGGCCTTGCTTGTGTCCTCTGGAGCACACAGCTGTGTCCAGGCTGCTGTGGGAGATGTGCAAAAGTGCTGCTAAGCCTTGTGTTTAAAATCACAAGTGCTCGGGAGGCACTAATGGTTTGGGTTGCCCTCTTCTTTCAGTGCTGTTCCCCCGTCACACCAATGCTGCTGCCAGAGACAACACCATAAACCTGATCCACACATTCCGGGACTACTTGCACTATCACATCAAGTGCTCGAAGGTACTGAGGGGATAGGGCTGGGGGGTAGAGGGTACCTTCAGCCCATCTAACCTGGGTGCTGCAGGGGAGGAACATGGGGCAGGGGTGCTCCCCTGAGAACTCACCAGGGTCTGGCATTGCCCTCCCCAGTCATGCAGGGATGGCAAGTGGTGCATCATGACCTTCTCCCTGCTCTTTGGCACAGGCAGTGCCTGTTCACTTCCCATCCTAGCAGTAAAAAGGGATTTTTCTTTTTTTTTTTTTTTTTTTTTCCCTTCTGGGTCTGGTTTCCTTCCTGAGAACAGAAATTAGGGTAATTGTTCAAAGAGACCTGGCCTTGACCAGGGCTCAGGCAGCAAATTTCCCTGTTGCCTCCTGAACTCCCCTCATAGTATTGTGGCTGGGCAGAGCTTGGTGCTTTCCCAACAAGGAGCAGAAAGATAGCTCCTACCCCATGTCCTGAAATATCAGCTATGAAAACAGGATCTTGATGTTTGCCCATTTTGTCCTAATGAAATGCAGGCCTATATTCACACGCGTATGAGGGCGAAAACATCGGATTTCCTCAAGGTGCTGAACCGTGCCCGTCCAGACGCAGAGAAAAAAGAAATGAAAACAATCACGTGAGTAGCAAAGTGGGGCTTGGCTCTTGGGAATTCCCTGCCAGCCACAAGCTTGCTCTTTCTCAGTTTGGTGTACTCCAGTCTGGGGAGGACTGGGGTGCTGTGAGGGTGACCAGACCAGGGCCTGATGTACTGTAATTCCATCCGAGAGAGAAACAGGGTGTTTCATCACCCTCTTTGTAGGAGCTGGGTCTGTGGCAAACCCCATGCCAGCAGGTGCTTTATAAAAGAAGGCTCATACACAGCTCTGCAGGCCCTGGTGTCTCCATTGTCGCCCCTCCAAGCCTGTAGTGGCATTGACGGGGCTTTTCCCCTGTTGTATTAAAGCTGGGTGATGGGCTCACGGGGGAGTGGCCAGGTCCTTCCTGGGTGTCTGTGGGTGCTGGAGCAGGTTCCTGCTGCCTGGCACATCTGCAGCTCCTCAGAGCCCCTGGCTGGATGGCTCCCTCTTGTGAATAAAGCAGCCCAGAGCAAAGCGGGTGGATGAGAGCAGTTCCATAAACATGTTTCCCTCAGGTCCTTCACCCTTGGATGATCCCAGAGTCCCTTGGTGTCTTTTTGCTATGTGTCCTGGCACATCCCCTTCGTGTTCTGCTCTGGGGCAGCGGGGTTGTCCAGTCTGCAAAAGCCACGCCCTCCCCACAGCCCAATGACCTGGTTCTGCAGCCACAAATGCCGGCGAGCTCTGAACCAGCAGTGCCTGCCTGGCTTTGAGAGCTCAGTGCAAGTGTGTGCCCCACCAGTAGCCCCGGGGGCACCCCAGAAGAGCACGAGGGGCTGTGCTGACCTCTCTCCGCATCCTTTCAGGGGGAAGACGTTCACAACCCGTTAACACCAGGGTCACTGAGGCTGCCGTGGAGGATGAAGGTTGGGGCACTTGCTACCTGATAATCGTAGCTTTTAATGTTGCACCTCTGTGGGCTCATAAGGAATTCAAGCAATCGGGGTCTGTTTGTACGACAGTTTGGGGAGTAATCTGCAGAAACGAGCTGTGCTTGCGAGGACTCGATCGTTCCAAGAAACAAAACCTTAATTCCAGTTTGATTGACTTAATTTCTTTTCTTTTTTAATTTTTTTTTTTTTTTCTCTTCAAGCTGTTTCGCTTTGCAATATGTTACCGGAAATAAGTTGCAGTATTTCTTATGAGAATAATGCAATATTAACTTGTTTTCTTCTGAGTATTTGAGTTCAAAACTCCTGTATCTGAAGAAATACTGTTGGGGTTCATTAATAAAGGAGATCTTTCTATCTTAAGGAACTGTGGGGCTTTGGCTTGTCAAGGTGTATGGCCTTGCCCTGGAAGGGGTGGTTGGAGTCACAGGTACAAGGTGGAAAATTACTCTTATCACAGAGCAAATTGCTTCTGGTGATCTCTGCCTTGGGGGCTGAAGTGGGAAGGCTGTGCCCAGGTTGAGGAGTAGCCTGTTGTGTGAGGGAACTCCTGGGCTGCTCAGAGCCTGATTCTCCTACCCTCAGCTAGAAATCTACCTTCCCCCTACCAGGGAGAGCTAGAATGGGGATATTGCCCCCACCCAGACCAGCATAAAACCATCTGCCATTGATCCTCAGGCCAGTGTTGGATGCTGGCGAGATCCCTGAGGAGGGTGGGAGCACAGCTCCCCAGGTCCTCTTGCCCCCCACTGAGCAGAGTGGATGGCATCCTGTTTAGGTGAAATAATTTATATAATTAAAAGACATTTTCATACAAAACCCCAGGCTTGGCCCCCAGCTGGTGAGAGCAAAGCAGGGCAGGCTGGAAAATTACAAAGCACGCACTGGAGAAGGGTGGTGAAACACATCTCCCTCCTCCCTCTGTACATGAGCCACCTGGCAGAGCCAGGACACCATCCCTCAGCACCGTTCCTAGCGATCGGGGCGCTGGACACAGAAGACTTTGGCTTGGTGGTCACCCGAGGTCGTCACCACAATGGAGGCATCCCTGGGGGGAGACAGGGCTCAGAGATGGGGCTGGGGGCTTTGGGCATCCCTCACCCAGCCCCCCTGGCCCAGCTCTGATCTGCCCCGCTCCCCCTTGAGACTCTCAACTCTCAGCCTGGACCTGGGTCTGTCCCCCCACCTTAAGGAGCAGACCTCTGGGGCCCCCAAAGGAAAGTCAGCCCATGATTCAAGTTCTTGAGGCTGGAGGCTTTGCCACCCTTGGTCCCTCCACCCAGCAGGGAAGGGGTCTAGGGGTTCCCCGCTCACTTGTTGACAGCGAAGTCGAGGATTTCGGCCGAGTGCCCTCGGTACTCGCTGATCATCTTCCCCGAGCGGGCATCCCAGAGCCGCACGGCCCCGTCCAGGCTGCAGGTGTACACCACGGCCGAGCTCTCCTCCCACAGCAACTGCACAATCCCTGACTGGGACAGGGGGAGGCCACAGGCTGAGCACTGGGGACCCCCAGCAAGTCTTAGCTCCCCCCACAAGCACCACCCAGTGTTGTCTAGCATCCCCACACCTAGGAGAGCCAGCCCCCAGGCCCAAGCTCCGGGGAACATCCTTTGTGCAGGGACTGCAGCTGCCTTTAGGGGAAGCCCAAGGGGCTGAGGGAGAAGCACAAATTGGGAACTGGCCCCAAGAAAGCCTCTGAGCCCCCAAGTGAGGTCTCAAATGGGCCCAAAGACGCCACCACCCCCCTCCCCCAAGGCCTAGGGAGAAGGGGTAGGGCCATACCTCATGTTGGCACTTATGCCTCAGGCTCTGCGTGGAGAGGTCATAGATAGCCAGCGTCCCATCCAGGTAGCCCACAGCAGCCAGTGGCATCCTACAGAGAGGGGAACAGCCATTACAGCAGCCTGGCGGAAACAGGGGTGGAGATGCTTTAAGGATCAAAGTTGAAGGCAAATCCTATGATGAGAGCTACAGCATATTGAGATGAGGGACAACCCAATGGCCAGAGCCGCGAAACACTCTGATCAGGAAACCCAACAGGACAGCAAAGTCAGCAACCAGCCCGAGGTTCACGAGGGAGAAGACAATGTCGTGGTAGGAAAGATCCCCATCAGCCATGTCTGGAGGGTATCCCAGCCAAAAGGTGGTCCATCAGGCTAGCCCAGAAACCCAGCGGGTTGAGGGGAACGCTGAGCAGCTGGTGTCCCTTGTCTTCCATGTCACCCCCAAGTGACCCAGGATCTCCAGAGCCAGCTGGGAAGGACGGAGGCGAGAGAAACGCAGCAGAACAAGCACGAGGGATGGAAATGGATCCGTTCATAGCAACCCCTGTAAGATTCACTGAAGAGGGGCTGTCCCCACACTCACACGTTGCAGAAGCCCAGCGACTCCACTGAGTTGGACTCTGCCTCCTCACCCTCGCCAGCTGGAGCCTTGGGGGCCATGCTCTCCATCTTGAATACGCACACCACCTGGGAGGACGGAGGCTGACTAGTCCCCAAAGGGAAGGGAAGGGAACCCTCAGTCACACTGAGGTCCCCTTCCTTACTCAGGATCCAGCCTACGCCCCCTGGACACCAAGGCTCGACCCCAGAACCTCAGCTCCTGGGAGCAAACAAGGGGGGGAACTTTCTTCTATGAGCCCAGCAGGACCACCCAGCTCCAGGTCCCACCAGAGGCTGGGAGGAAGCAGTTGTGTTGGCCAAGGGCGCCTTCTGCTGGCTCCCGGTGGCCACCACAGGCTGCTCGGGGCCGGCCGAGCCCCAAACCACCCTGAGACACCAGCCCGGCCCAGGACAGGGGCTCGGGAGGCCAGTCCCCCGGGGCTCCTGGCTCTGCCCCCACCCACACGGACCCACCTTGCCTGTGGCAGAGTTGACCAGCTTGGCGTGGCAGTCCACAGAGCCCGTCATAATCAAACTGCCGTCCTTGTTGCTGGCCACACACGTCAAAGGGTCCTGGTGGCCATCCTGGCCTGGAGGGTGAGCAGGAGAGACATGAGTTCCACGTGTCCTCCCCGTGGAGACCTGGTGGGCTTTGAAACCCTCCCTCCTGCAGCCTCCACCTTGCCCAGCTCTGCCAGCACCCTGGTGGCAAGGAGCAGCCACCTGTGGGGACAGGGAAACCCAGTGCCAGGCTCCCCCCGGCAGCCCCTGGCCTCAGAGAGTGCCACCTCTCCACCTTCACAGAGGTCAGAGCCCACTGTAAAGCGCCACTCCCCAATTAGGGAGCACCCCAGGTGACTACCCTCTTCCCTACCTTTCAGGACATGCAGCGAGGTTCCCTGCTTCAGGTCCCAGATGCGCATGGTCCCGTCTTCATACCCCACCACTGCTCGCTTCCCTGGGTGAGAAAGGGCCCACGAATAGAGCCAGAGCTCCCCTCATCCCTCCACCTCCCACTCAGCACAGACTGGCAGAAGTAGGAGGACAGACAGTGGCAGCTGCATCCGTCAGAGTTGGTGACACTCCTAACCCCAAACAGCCCCCGTGTCTCACCGTCAGGCAGAATCCGGCCACATGTGGCCGGGCACGCAGGGCCCTGGAAGGTTTTGCAGTCTCCGCTGGGGATCTTCCACATCCAGGAGTTGCCATCAGCCGTGCCCGCCAGAAGGACGTGGGCTTGTGGGTGCCACTCCATCCACTGGGCAAAGAGAGGGACAGGCAGCGTCACGGGGGTGGCATCCCACCCCCCTGCCACGCCGCTGAGTCCCAGCTGCCGGCCCACGAGCTCCCCATGGCACCAGGGGTCCCACCACTCACCTCCAAGTCCCCCACCTCGAAGGACCACACTTCTTCCTTTGCATCCACCCGCCACACTTTGATAAGCCCAGACATGTCACCCGTGGCCACAAACACAGAGTCGTGACTGAAGCCAGCACAGGTGACCGAGTCCTTGTGTCCTAGAGATGTCGGGGGACAGAGACTGCTCAGGCTAAGCCACAGAGGCCACTCAGGAGCTCAGCTCCAGCAGAGCATCGCTTGGGGAACAGAGTGTCTAGAGAGACGCAGCTGAGAGAGGACACAGCCACTCAGCCAGCCTTCAGCACCTCACCTGAGCATTCGAACAGGAGCTCTCCATCACCCACACGCCACACAAAGGCCTTGTCATCCTCCCCACCCGTCACTGCCAGCGTGTTGGTCTTGGGGTCGAGGCTCACACAGAAAACAGAAGCTTCACAGGAGAGTAAAGAGATGCTACATGGCTCCAACGCCGCTCACGTCCCACCTGATGCTCCCCGGGGATCCAAACCCCACAAAGCGCTGGGTCCGGGCGGGATGTCAGCAAGCTGAACTCCCCAACCCCAACCAGCGGGAATCTGTTCTTTCCATGGGGAAAGAGCAGCACAAGCTGTCTGCCGAGCTCGGGGTGAGCTGCCATGGTAGGAGGCTCGAAGGGCTTCGCTACCGACAGCTGTCCCAGGAGCGGCTGGGAGATGGCGGCCTGGCAAGGACCTGCTGCATCCCCTCGCTCTGGGGAAAGCCAGTGTGGGAGCAGGTCCCGAGGGGGACCCCAGCCGCAGCTGCCCATGCCCACCACTCACCCGAGTGGAGGGAGAAGGTGACCTCGCTGTCGTCCTGCACCTCCATGCCGTCCTCCACCCCCTCATCATCCTCCGTCTCCCAAGCCTCGGCGTCGGGCTCTTCCGCCCCTTCGTCGTCAAAGTCCACATCCTCCATCTCGTCAGCCAGGTCATCTGCAGGGGGCGAAGGTCAGGACGCGGCTCGCAGCCTACCGGGCTCGGCCCTCCCAGGGCAGGCGGCTGCGGGCACGGGGGAGGCCCTCGGGGGTCCCCAGGGGACGGGGCAGCGGGAGGGATGTGTGTTCCCGAGGCTGCCGCGGCCAGGAGACCCGGAGCGGAGGAGCCGCGAAGGCGCCGAGCGGGGCGCGACGCCGGGAGAGGCCGCAGGCCCGGGGTGGGGGGGAACGGGCCGGGACCCGCGGCCGGGCCTGGCACTGGGGCGGGGCCGGAGCGTTCCCGGTGCCCCGGCGGGAGGCCGGAGCCCCCGCAGGCCCTGCCCGGTGCACGGCGGAGGGCGCCCCGTCTCACCCGGCCCAGGCGGGCCCAGCTCCACCACCTCGATGATCTCCTCGTCGCCGTGGAAGCCCAGAGCCCCCGAGCCCTCGGCGGGCTCCATGCCGGCCTGCCCGCGCACCGCACCCCGCCACCGCCGCTTCCGCCGTTGAGCCCCGCCTCAAGCCAATCCCCACCCGCCACCCTCCCTCCTCAGCCAACCCCTGCCCCGCATCCTCACCCAGACCCCGCCCCTTCCGCTAGCGGGGTAGGTCGACCCCACTCCCCGCGCAGTGCGCTCTGGGAGCTGTAGTTTTCCGCGGCGCGGCCCGCCCAGCGCCTCCCCCCGGCAGCCCCCGCGCGGCGGACTGCCGCTCCCAGCATGCAGCGGGGCCGCCGCACACCGGCCTGGCCCACCATGGCGGCGGCGGCGGCGCTCGGCGGACTGCGGGGTAACGGCGGGTGGGCGGGCGACGCCGGGACGGGGGGAACCGGGAGCGTCCCGCCACCACCCTCACTGCACGGGCCCCACGCGCTTCGACACACACACGCACCCCCCACCACTCCCCCCCCGGGACCCGCCCCGGGGCCTCGGCCCCGCCTGAGGGGAGGTCTTAGCCACGCCACGCCCGGTTTAACCACGCCCCTGGCTCGCTTGGCCACGGCCCCCCGAGCCCACGCCGGGGCCGGGGTCTCGGGCGGTTTGGGCTGAGCCCCTGCACTCGCAGCCCCGTGGCCGCCTCTCCCTCCCTCCCTCCCACCCCCCTCTCTCCCCACAGGGCTGCTGGTGGCAGCGGGTCCCGCCGGGCCCCGGGGGCGGCCGGCCCTCCCGGGCGCACGGCTCCTCCGGCGGAGTTGCCACCGGCCGGCGGGACCACCGGCCAGCCGGGAGCCTGGCCGCGGGGGGCTCCCCGAGGGGGTGGAGTACATCCCCACGCGCAAGAAGGGCAAGAACCCGATGAAGCCCGTGTGGGTGGCCTGGTGAGTGGCTCGGGTAGTGGGGGAGGCTCTCTGCAACGCCTGGGGTGGGGTGTCCCGGGGGGCCGCAGCACCGGTGGGAGGGGGGGGGGGGGGGGGCTTGTTACCCCACCCGGTCTCTTCATCTCCTGCCCGCTGTCTGTCCTGCAGGGCCATCGGCATGCCCTCCGGCATCATCCTCTTCCTCCTGGCCAAGCGGGAAGTGGACAAAAACCGTCTGGAGCAGCTCAAAATCCGCCAAAGGATGATGGAAGCCAACCAGGGCGAGTACGAGACGGAGCGATACGAGAGGGTGTTCAGGAGGGCATAGCCAGGCTCCCCCCAGCCTGGCACCCTGAAGGTGCCTGTAGCACTGGCACCTGCCTTCCCTGTCCAGCCCGTGGGGTGGTTGTGGGGCTGGATAGCAACAAATAAACCTCATCCCTGGTGAGCAGAACGGCTCGGTGCCACAACAGCTGCTTCCTCGGTGCCTGCCCCCGCAGCGGGGGGGGGTGTCCCAGCTGCTTTGCAGCTAGGGAATCTGCCCACAAGGGTGGAAGAAGCGCAGGCAGGGGAGGGAAGCCAGGCCTGGAGCGGCTCGACCTTGGGTTTTTTGCCCCAAAGCCAACTAAAGCTGCCCACGGGTTTTTTGTGGGAGTTGCCGCACCAATAAGACTAGGACCGTCTGGAAAATTAAAGTGTTTTATTTAGCAAGTGCAACTTCGCCCATGTCCGTGGCTGCAGGGCCTCAGTGATGTGAGCTCTGCCCCGAGTCCTACCACGAGAGTCCCAGCTGCCCCCTGCCCACCCTGGGCACCGCCACGGCTCAGGGAGGGGGGCACAGCTGGAGCCGCGTTTAAGGCACCAAGTGAATGACACCGACCGGCCTCTGCCAAAAAAATCCCGACACGATCCCAGTGGCTGCTGCCAGCTCCCCACGCCCAGGCAGGACCGTGGCGCTCTGCTGCCAGCCCAGCACCACTGGCACAGCCTCGGCAAATGGTGCTGGGGCCAGGCACTGCCTAAACACTGGCAGCCGGTCCCCCCCACCGCCCTTGGTGGCTTGTTGGGGGGTGAGTAAAGGAAGCCCTTTCCTTAGCAGCCTACAGGTAAGGATGCCGAAGCACTAGGAGTCATGGTAAGAAGCCATATCCTGTACAGAGGCCAGAGGAGGGGGTGAGAGGCAGCGAGAAGGGGAGAGGAGGGGGCCCAGGGCTAATCCCGGCCCACGATCTGCAGGATGAAGGTGAAGATGTAGACGATGTCAGTGTAGATGGTGAGGGCACCGTAGATGTACTCCTCGGGGTTCAGTGTGTTCTTCCTGTTCCCCAGCACAAGTTGAGTGTCATAGGCAAGAAACTGGGGGGGCAGAGGGTGTCAGGCAGATACTGGGGAGGGGGGAACCCCACCTCGGTCCCTGCCTGACACGCTCTGCCCACCCCAGCCGTCAACTCACCAGGGTGAAGGCGATGGCGCCGATGGCCGCATACAGCATGTGGAGCCAGGGGACCTGTGTGGGGAAGGGGACAGGGGCAGGGTGAGCCAGGGTGCTGGCAGGCAGCGGGCAAGGCAGGGCAGGTCCTGCCCGCACCCGGCTCCCCCGGGAGATGCTGCTGATGCCGATGCACCCTCCACCCACGGGCAAGCTGCCTCTGCCGTGGCCGGCACCACACCCTGCCTCCCAGCAAAGGGGGACCACCCAAAACCCCCTGCCCATGCCAGCCCCGGGGACACCTGTGTCACCCCACAGCCCTTCTGTCTCCCCTACTCACATATTTGAAGGAAAGAACGATGGCGGTGACAATCCCGGTCACCATGACCACGATGCCCAGCACACAGAAGAGCCCCGGACACGATGTAAAATCAACCTGCCAGGGGACACACACACATACGTCACGGGAGAGTTCGGGGTGTCCCCACTGCCCAGCTCCCGCCACTTGACCCCCCCCCCCTGCTCCTTGCCTTGGTCTGGAAGCAGAAGATGGTGACGATGATGGCCACGATGGCAGTGATGAGCATGGCGATCAGGACGGCACTGGTCTGGTACATGCTGCGGACCAAGGGGACACCCGAGTCACCCCACGCTTCCGCATATCCCTGCCAGGGGGGTGTTGGTGACCCCCCCATGGCCCCAGTCCTGGGCAGGGACCCTCCTGTCCCCAAGCCCAGGGGACCGGGGTGTCCCCCAGCTCCTGGCAGCCTCTCCTCTGAGGCAGCCGCACAGTGGGGGACAGGAGGGACCCCAGCTCCTGTCACCACAGGGTCCTCGGGGCGTACCTGGCGATCGTCCCTGTCATCAGCCCCATGGCCAGCGTCTGCGGGAGAGAAGGGTGGGCTCAACAGGACAAGTGGCACCATGGGGGGGCAGCAGTTCCTGGCTGCCCCCCCCCGCCTGCCCATACATCCCCCCCTACACCTCCCAGCCCCATGGGGGCACCACCAGCACCCCCAGCCCACTCACGAAGATGCTCAGCAGGATGATGTTCCAGGGGAAGCGTCTCCTGGGGACAAAACGGAGCGGAGAGGTTGAGCTGGTGACAGCAGCCATGTCGTGTCCCCCTGTACCCACACCCTAGGGGCAGCTCCAGGCAGGGCCCCCAATCCTGATGACCTGGAGAGACCCCGCCCCCCCACATCCACACATTTTCCACCCCCCCCCCCCCCGCCGTGACCCTGCCACCAGCAACTCACCGGGGACCCTGGCAGCAGGCCAGCACCAAGTAGGTCACCAGAAACACAGCGCTGCAGAAAGAGACAGCGGGTGTCAGCCCTACAACACACCCCCCACACCACCAGGACCACCCCCTCCAGGCTGGAGGCTGCAATTGTGGGGTGCCAGCTGCCAGAGGGCACCCCACGAGGGGACACCAGCCAGCAGACCCCCCTACTCACTATGAGGCATAGTAGATGGCGACGTTCCTCTGGACGAAGGAGCGGACAGGGGAGCTGTGGGATGGGAGGGACAAGCGTGAGGGAGGGGGGACAAACTATTTTCCTCATGGGACCCCTCCCAGGGGACATGGGGCCAGGCTGCCCCCCTTTTTCAGAGCAAGGCTAAGGAGGGACCTCCTACTTACGCAAAGGTGAACACGGCAATGATCCCCACTGTCACCAGCAGCTGCAGGGAGATGATGGCGTACACCTGCGAGAGACGGGGAGGGGGAGGCGGAGGTCAGCACCCGGCCCCCCACCCTAACGGGTGCCCCCCCTTTCCCCCCCCAGGACTTGCCTTGCGGATGAAGGCATGCCGGACTTTCCTGTCATCCCAGTCAGCCGGTTGGAGGTGGGAGCCGTCCCCGATGCCATCGTCACCTGCGGTGGGGGAACACCCCTCAGCACCAGGGTGGGCTGTGCAGCCCCCCCATACCACCCCTGTTTCTAGTGCTCTCCCCTCCAAAAAAAAAAAAAAAAAAACAAAAAAAAAAACCCAAAACCAAGGTGCCCCCACTTACCAAACCGAATCGGCATGGTGGGCATGGCCATCCCTGGCTGGGGGTAACCCCCTGGCTGCGCGTACCCCCCTGCTGCTGGGTACCCCGCCGGCTGAGCATACCCCCCTGCTGCTGGGTACCCCCCAGCTGCAGGGTACCCCCCAGCTGCAGGGTACCCCCCGGCATAGTAGGGGGGCTGGGGGTACCCCCCTGGGGGCGGGGGGTAGAGGGGGTTCTTGTCATCATAAGGGGGGGGTGCGCTGGGCTGCGCCATGCCGGCTCCCTGCGTCTCTCACAGCCACCTGGAGGGGAGAGAAGACGGGGGGGGTGTCAGCACAGGTCCCCCTCCCCGGGCAGGACGTGTCCCCAGTGAGTGGAGCCACAGGTGCAGGGACAGTGGAGCCACAAAACCTCCTCCTCCCACTTTAATAGTGGCTTCTAATTAATAAGGATGAGCTGGCCCCAGTGCCAGAGGGTCAATGAGAGGTGAGGGACGTCCCCACTGTCCCTCGGCCGGGGCCACCTGCATTCCTGTGCCCTGAGTCCCCGGTGCCTGCGTCAGTGGCCAGCCACGGGCTGGGCACAGCCACGCACTGACTCAAGCCACGGTGGGGACGTGACCTCTCCAGCCTCTGGAGCCCACCCTGTCATTGCTGGGGGGCAGGAAGCACCCCCCACCCTCCCAGCTCCCTCCCCTCACCCCCCACCCCATGCCCTGGCTGATCTCCAGCTCCTGGTGCCACCACCCTGGGGACAAACGACATCACCCTACCCGGTGCCTGGGATGGAAACACGGGGCTGATCCTGATCACACCCTTGCACACCCCACTGCCCTCCCCCCTATTCCGGGGGTGACCCCCACCCAGCGGGTCACACAGAAGTTCCAGAACTCCTAAATGCCCCCCCCAGAGAGTTACAGGGACAAGCACCAGCCGCGTCACCTCGGAGGGAGGTGGATGCATCCCCAGGGAGGGGAGCCAGGACATGCCCCCCCGCCCCGCTGGGGCTGAGCTCCCTTCCCAGGCCATGCTGGGCCCCCTCGCAGAGCCCCCGGCAGTCATGATCAGCCAGCCTGGGCCCAGAGCCAGCTGCTGGACTTGGCCCCAGGAGGAGGAGGAGGAAAAGGAGGAGGAGAAGGAGAAGGAGGAGGAGGAGGAGGTGGAGGAGGAGAAGGAAGACAGGATCTCCAAGGCCAAGAAAACAATGGCGCTGTCAGGAGCCGATGCCAGGCCTTTACCTGCCCACCGCCCCTCTGGTGCTGGCACCGGGGGACTCGCACCCCAAGCCCCAGGCAGGCTGCCAGGACCCCCCACGTCCCCCCCCCCTTCCCGCTCACAGCCGTAACGTGACTCCAGGACCGTTCCCGGGAAGGAACCAGGATCTGACCCCAACTGGGACCAGGCTGGGAGGGGACTGGGAGCTTCTTTCAGCGTGACGCCGGTGCTTTCAGCGGCAGGGCTGGGCAGGCAGCGGTGCCGGAGGGGGCACACCTGGGCCAGCCATGCCCGGCTGGGGTGAGCAGCTCAGTGTCTGTCCCTCCGTCCCTCCCACTGTCCGTCTGTTCCAGCCGCGGCAGAGCTGCCGCGGCCGTGCCGCCCTTCGCCATCGCGATGACGGCGGTGCCAAAAATAACCAGTGTGGCGGTGACCACCCATCCTGGAAGTTTCACTTTCGCCACTCTGTAGTTCCCGAAAAAGTACCCGGTGCCCCCTTGCACTGCCTCATCTGCGGGGCCAGGGAAGGGCCAAAAATAGGAGCCTGACACTAGGAAAACCCTTGTGACCAGCACTCGGTTAGGGGGAACCAGAGTCCCCAGGAGGAAACCCGGGTGTCTGGGGAGAGCGAGGTGTATCCAGCTGGCACGGGGTCATCGGGAGTCCCACCCTGTGCCCATGGCCAGCACCTCATGTCAGGGGTCTGCCAGCTGCCCCAGCCCCTCCTGTCCCCACCCCAGCACCGTGGCCCTAAGGATGGGGAAGGAACCAGCCTGACTGGTCCCCGCGGCCGCCGCACCCCGGGAGGTGGTGCACCCTCCCCGGGCCACGACACAGCGGGGCCCCGAAACCGGAGGTCACCAGTGACAGGGCCAACCAGGACAGCTTTGGTGGCCCTGGCATGACGTGATGCCCCCAGGGACAGGGCGCTGCTCTGCACTGGCACCGTGACTCAGCACAGATAAGGGGGCACATGGCGGGGACCTGGGGTGCTGGCACCCGTCACCCCCGACACGGCCCCACGGGTGGCACTGGGCAGCATCCCCACCGGCCGTCCCGGTGTTCCTGCCAGGCTCGGGCCCCTGCCACCAGCTCCACAGGGACCTTGGGGCGCCAAGGGCCACCGTGGGGAGGGATCAGGGTTTGGGGTGAGGGCCAGGGCTTTCCCCATGGCTCCCCACGGCGAGGCTGCCTGGGAAAGCAGCTGACTTCCCCGAGGAGCCTGGAAGCTCCCACCAGTATGGCAGGGCTTGGTACGGCACGGCACAGCCCAGCACAGCGTGGCACGGCACAGAACAGCCCGGTACAGCCCGGTACAGCCCGGTACGGGGCAACCCAACACGGCACAACACAACTCGGCCTGGCTCGGCCCAGCTCGGCAGGGCTTGCGCCCCGAGAGCCAGCGCAGCCCACCCAGGACGGGTTCCCTGGCTGTCCCCCCCCCCTCCCCCCTGATGCCGCTCACACAAGACACGAGTTTGCAAGACCTCAGCATTCCCACCACCTCTCTGCCCCCCCCCCCCCCCCCCCCCCCCCCCGTCTTGAGCCTCCTCACCGTCGGCAGGGACATGTGACTGAGGTGTCCCCACGCACACACACACACCCCCCCCGGGTGCCACCCCACACCCTTCCGGGCACAGACCCCCGCCCTCACCTCCTGAGACACCCCACGGGGTCCGCGGGGACACCCTCCACAGGACAACAGATGGCGATCCACGCCGGACCACTCCATGCCGCGCCCCAATTACCCACCCACGCGATCCTGTGGGGTCCAAAAAACGGTACCAGCCCCGCAGCGGGGTCCCGTCCGTGGGGGTCCTGTCCCTCCGCGGGACCCCGCTCCGACCCCGCTACCCCCGCCGCGCCGGACCTCGACCTGAAGTGCCCCCCCACCCGCTCCGGGAATAAAGGGAGCGGGGGGGTCGCAGCGCGTCCCCGCGGTTCGGGGACCGGCCTCCCACCCCCGCCCGGTCCCCGACGCCCTCCGGGACGCTCGGCCCCGCCGGCTGTGGCACCGGAGAGGGCCGGGGGGAGGGGGGGGGCGGCGGGAACGGGGCGGGGGACCGCCGGGAGCGGGGAGGCGGGGGGGGGGGGGGTGCCCACGGGCTTGAACCGGAGCGGGACCGGGACCGGGACCGGGACCGGGCCGTCCTACCTGCTGCGCGCTGCTCCGCCGGACTCTGGCCGCGACCGGCCGGGGCGGGGAAAGGCACCGCCCGCCCCCCCCCCCCCCCCGTCCCGCCGCGCCCTCCCGCGGCGGCTCCGCGCCGCTGCGCCCCGAGTGGGGCCGGGTGAGCTGGGGCGCGGTGCGGGGCTGCGCTCCCCCTCCTCTCGCTCCCCGGGACGGACCCCCACGGACCCACTCCCACACCCCCCCACCGCCCGCCGAACGGGGCACCCAGCCGCCCCCCTGCCCCTTCTTCTGATGTCACTTAGGGACCCCCCCCCCACACACACACCCTTCACCACGCAGTGACGTCAGCTGCGGGGACACCTTTTGCGGCGATTTGGGGGGGGGGGGGGGGGGGAAGGAATCCCCCTCCTCTCCGCCGGTGACGCGATTGGGGGCTCTGTGTGTGTGTGGGGGGGGGGGGGGGGTCTCCCCCCCCACGCCCCGCGCTGCCCGGTTCCCTCGGCAGTGACGCGGCGTGACCAGCAGGGTGCGCGTGGGTCTCGGCGGCGTGACGCGCGTGGGAGGGGTCGGGTCCGTGGCGGCATGGCCGCGGGGCGCGGGGGGCGGCGCCCGGGCCGTGGCGGGGCCGCGCTGCGGGCGGCGGCGGCGGCCGGTGCCCGTGGGCTGGGGGCCGCCTGCCCCCCCCTCCGCCGCCTCGCCCGCCGCGCCGCCGCCGCCCTCATGGCCCTCGCCGGGCCGCTGCTGTTCCGCGTGGGGTGAGTGTCCGCCGCTCCGGTACCACCACCCCCCCCCCCCCACGCACACACCCCCCCCCCCACGCACACACACCCCCCCCCCACGCACACACACACACCCCCCCCCGCGCCGGGAGGGAGCCACCGCCGCCCGCCTTTGTTCTGCCTCCGGGAAGAAGGGCCCGTCCCCCCCTGCTTGTGCGGGGGGGACTGGGGCTCCGCTGTTGCACCGGGAGGGGCTGGGAGGGGGGGCAGCCCTCCCTCCACGGGTGCTCAGCCCCACGGACCGGGGGTAGGGGCCAGGGCAGGCGGTGTCAGCCCAGCTGCCCGGGGAGGGGGGGGGGGGGGGGGGGGACTTCGCAGCGCCGGGAATCAGACACCCAGTACGGTCACGGTCCCTTTTCGGACCTGACACCTTCCCCCGCCACCTCCGGGGGCTCCTTCCCTCGGGTCTAATCATTGACCCACGCCGGTGCCCCGGCCGTGACCCTGTTGCCCAGTGCTGGCAGGACCCCACCGCTCCCCACCTTCGGGCTCCCACCCCCCGCAGCTGCAGGGGACCCCCGGCTCCTGCCAGGATCCCTCCCCGGTGTACCTGCCGGTGCCAGCGCAAAGGATGTCGCCATCCCGGGGGATGATGCCCTTGGCCCAGGGATGGGCTTTGCACGGGGCTCTGCACGGGGCTCTGCACATCCTTCATGGCAGCAGGTCCCCGTCCCCAGCCCTGAAACGATCCTGTATAAAAATGGGCCCCGAGCCCCCCAGCCTGCATCTCTTGCACCCCTGCATGCCCACGCTGCGGAGGCGTTTCTCCCCTCCCTTTTCCTCTGCTCATTCTGCTCCCACTTCCCTCTTCCCTGCGGCCCTGACACCCGGGCCAGGCCCCCAGAACAGGGTCAGCCCTTGACATGGCCCCCCCCCCCCCCCGCTCCCAGGGCTTAGGGGGGCACACCCCAGGGACACTCGGCAGCCGGAGTGTTGCTGCAGATAAATCCCTGGGGCTCCAGCCCATCCCGGTGAGCAGAGCCCTGGCGGGCAGACGCACAGACAGATGGACACCCCTGTAGCAATGCCCCCCCCCCCCCCACTCCGTCCTTGCTGCCTGGAGCAGCTGGGAGGGACCTGCCTGGGGAACCGATTCTGCCCTCGCTGCAGATCTGGAGGGGGATGTGGGGTGTGTTTCCCACGTGTGGGAAAGCGACCCTGTCTGTGTCCCCCCGTGGGGGGGCTGGGGGTCAACGCCGGGGGGGTGTCTGCGCTCCCCAGGTACAGCCTGTATGCCCGCACGCGGCTGGGCTACCTCTTCTACCAGCGGCAGGTGAAGAAGGCCCGGGAGCGGTACCCGCACGGCCACTCCGCACCCCAGCCCTGCCGCTTCCCCGGTGAGTCCTGGCAAGGCCCCCCACTCCCCCCCCCCCCCCCCCCGTGGCCCCATCGTGTCCCCCAGTGCTGGCACTTCGGGGTGGGGAGAGGTTGCCATTGCCAAATTGCCCGAAGCAAGTTTAACTGAGAATTGGATTTAAGATGTGGGGAGTTTGGCCCCGTCCCTGCGCTTTCCTGGGCAGGGGGGTCATGCCCTGATGTCTGTCTGTCCCCCCCCCCCCCCCCCCAGGGGTGAAAATCCTGCCCATTCCTGTGCTCTCCAACAACTACAGCTACCTGATCATCGACACTGGCTCTGGCCGGGCAGCAGTTGTCGACCCTTCCGACCCACTGGCCGTGCAGGTGAGACCCCCCCCAGCCCCCCCAGCCCAGTGTTTGGGTGTCCCCAGGTGAGGAGGTGACATGTCTCTTTTAGCTTTTTTGGGTGGGGGGAAATCTGCCCTTAATCTGCAGCCCTTACTGCCCAGGGCAAGGTTGGAGGGCAGCAGGGCTCACCCAGCACTTGGGGAGCTGGAGGGCGGGTTTGGGAGGAGACTGATACTCAGGGTGTCTCTGTTCCCATCCCACGCCCCCCCCCCCCCCCCCCCCAATTCCTAGGCTGCCATTGAAGAAGAAGGGGTGATGCTGGAGGCCATATTCTGCACCCACAAACACTGGTACGGGGCAAGAGGGGGCCCTGCGGGGCTCGGTGGCTGCCGTGGAGGGTGCCTCAGCTGCGGTGACCCCCAGCCCTACCCCACGTAGGGTGGGGATATGTGGGGGGGACACATTTAGGGGTGCTGAGCTTCCTGTCTGCAGGGACCACAGTGGGGGGAACGCGGCGCTCCGCCAGCAGCACGGCTCCTGCAAGGTGTACGGCAGCGCCCTCGACGCCATCCCGGAGCTCACCAAGTAAGTCCTGCGCCCTGCATCCCACCCAGCACCCCGGTAAATCTGGGGGGGCGGGGAGGTTTCACCCCCAACCACCACCACTGTCTGCTCCACCCACCCGCCAGTCCCTCCCCCAAGTACCGTGTTACCCACATCATGGGCAGAGACCTGGCACGCTCACGGCACCGGTGCACCGGGGGGAGGGTTGAAAGGGGAGGGGGGTGTTTTGAGGTGCTGGGGGGTGGGGGGTGGGGGTGGGCACCCTGACGGTGCACCCCTGTGCACGGCACAGCCCGCTTGCAGACAGGGAGAAGGTGAGCGTGGGCTGCCTGACCTTCGAGGCGCTCTCCACGCCCGGCCACACTGTGGGCCATATGGTATATGTGCTGGATGGGGGGCCCTTCGGTGGCCCCCCCTGCCTCTTCTCGGGGGACCTCCTCTTCCTCGCTGGCTGCGGTGAGTGCGCCCAACCCTGAACGTGGGTGGCTGGGGGGGGGGGGGGGGGGGTGTCCCACCCTGGGAAGGGCTTGGGGGGGGACACCCCAATCCCCCCTCCGTGACAGGCAGTCGCGTGGGGGTCCAGGCAGGCTGTTTGAGGGCTCCCCCGAGACCATGCTCGCCTCCCTGGACGTGGCCGTGGGCTTGGGCGAGGACACGCTGCTGTGGCCAGGTGAGTGTCCCGAACAGCCACTGGTGTCCCCTGTATCCCCCGCTGGGGGGGCCGGGCGGGGGTGATGCTAAGGGGTAGGGGGGTCTGCAGGCCACGAGTACGCACTGGAGTGCTTGACCTTCGCCAGCCTCCTGGAGCTGGACAACCCCGCGCTGGAGCAGAAGCTGCGGTGGGCGACGCATCAGCGCCAGGAGAAGAGGAGCACGGTGAGGCTGAGGGGGGAGTGTCCCCTGGCTGCAGCCCCCCAGCCCCTTGTGGGGTTCCCCCCATCCCTCGGTGGGGATGCTGCACCCCAACACCCTCTTGCACGGCAGATGCTAGAGGGGAAGGAGGTGCTGGTGTGGCGGGGGGGGGGGGGGTGGCCCCTGCCAGGGGTGCTGCCTCTGGCGGGGTGGCTGAGCTGCTGCCCCCCACAGTGTCCCTCCACGCTGGGGGAGGAGCAGACCTACAACCCCTTCCTGCGGACCCACCGGCCGGAGCTGCAGGCAGCGCTGGGGCTGCGGCGGGGCGGGGGGGAGCACCCCGACGCCTTCCGTGCCCGCGTCCTGAAGGAGGTGCGGAGGCGCAAGGACCTCTACAAAGCCACCTAGACCCCCAGCCCTCCCCAGACACCCCCCTTTTCCGTGGGGCTGGGTGCCACTCAGGCATGGGGGGCCCGAGACTCTGTGATTTGTTTTGCTGTGAATCTTCCCCCTGGGATGCAGGGTTGAGGGTGGGTAAGAGTGGACCCTCCCGTGTGAGCACCCCCGTAAGCGATCCCTGCCTTTGCTCCCCCAGACTTGGGGGTCACCAGCTGTCATGTAGAAACACGTCGATCCCTTTTCTGGGATTCTGTAGCCCCACCCCCACCCCACTTCTGGGGCTGTAGGGACGGCACCAAGGGCTTTTCCTACCCCCTCCTCCCCTGTTTTTCTAGGAGCCCCCGATTTCCCCCCCCTCCCCCAGCACTCAGGGAACCCCTCCTACCCCTGGCTGCCCCCAGTGCTGTGCATCAACTTTGGCGGGGGGCCTTTATGGAGCCAGCAAGGGGGCGAGGGTGTAGTACTATCTCCAGGCAAGGGGCTCTTCTGCACCCCACCCTTGGTGCTGGAGCCCCCCCCCCGCTCACACAGACACACCCAGATGGGGCCATGGGGGCACACTGAGGGGGTGTAAGGGTGTGCTGCTGTACTGGGGACTGGATCCCCCTCTCCCTCAAACCCCCCGAATTAAAAGACTGGATCGGACTTGTATCTGTTCGGCTTTTTTCATCGGCGGTCGGCGGGCCTCCCCCCCAGGCAAAACCCCGCTGAAGGTCGCTGCCCCTTTAAGAGGCGGGGCTAGGCCGTTGCTACGGAGACCGCTGAGGCGTGGGGGGGGGGGCACCTGGCTCAGGCCAGGGCAGGTCTGGGGGGGCGAGGGGGGAGGTTCTGGTGGGGGGCTGCTTAGGGGTGTAGGGAGTCCGTGGGGAAGGATGGGAGGGGCGACAGGGGCTGGGGGCTGCTGAGGCCGGGGGCGGGGGGGGGGGGGGGGGGAAGGCTGTGCACCCCCCCCTTCCCCTCCTTACACATATGGGCACCAGTTTTGGGGGGACACATCATACCCCCTCACCCGCGGGTCCGGCAGCAGGAACCCCCCCCAGGCGAAGCATGGAGCCCCCCGCCGAGTGCCAGCAGGAGACCCCAACCCTCACGGAGGCAGCCGCCGAGTTCCTGAGACGTATCGGTGGGTGTCCCCCCCCGCCCCCCCCCGCCCCCCCCCTCCTTGTTCCCCCCCGCCGCACCCCCGGGGGTCCTCGGTGCAGGGGGGGGGGGGGGGGGGGGGGTCCGGGCGGGGGTGACGGTCCCTCCGGGCAGGGCCGGGGGAGCTGGAGCGCTGCCTGTTCGCCGAGACGCTGGAGGGGGTGGCAGCGAGGGACCGGGCAAGGGCCCGGTGGCCGGGCCAGTGGTGGCTGGTAGCCCGGTGGGCTCCCTACGAGCGGGCGGGCGAGCCGGCGCGGCGCTGCCTCCTGGTGCGAGCCGGGTCCCGCGGCAGGCAGGACGGCGTGCCCAGCTCCGGCACCCTCAAAGGTGAGTTGTGGGGAGAGGGGGAGGCTTGGGGGGGGGGTGTGTGTGTGTGTGTGTGTCCCCTTCCCAATCCCCCTCGGGGTTGGGATGGGGGGCACCGCGGCACTGGCAGCGGGGCGGGCTGAGCGGGGCTCTGCTCTGCCAGCCTACGTGACCCCCCAGCTGGAGACCCTGGAGCAGGAGGAGCTGGAGCGCCTGGAGGTGACTGGTGCGGCGGTGGCCGTGTCCCCCCCCTGCCCTGCAGCGGTGCCCTCCTGGGGGCTGCGCCCCCCTGAAAGGTGGCTGTGAGCAGCCCGGTGTCCCCTCCCCAGCTCGGACACCAGGTCTGTCCCACCAGCCTGGTCCCCATCCCCTGCGCTGGGTGGCAGCTGGAGTGGGGAGTTTCCCACAATGCATCTGGTGTGGTACCCTGATTGAAAGGGGTGCTGGGGTGTGCCACCTCAGAGAGGGAGTGCCCTGGCTCTGCCCCCCCACCCCCTGCCCCCCCACCCCTCCCACAGCTCCAAGCACAGCCCGTAGAGAGGAGGACCCATATCGTGAGCCACCAGCATGGGATAACTGTCACCAAGAGCCTCCAGGAGGGAGAGGTAAGGCTGGGGGGTGGGGTGTATCTCTCTGCTCCCCCAGATGGGGCACATCCTGGGAGAGGGGGGGCATGGTTGGCCTGTCCCGCTCAGGGGTGCCCCCAGGCTGTTGGGGGGGGTGGGTTCCTGGGGACTGTGGAGCTGTGGCTGTCCCATGAGACGGCCGGGTCTTTCTGCAGGCAGAGCCGTATTGCCGGAGCTTCTCCTACGGCCGGGCTGAGCTGCGGGGGCTGCTGCTGGAGGGTGCCAGCCTCCTGCTGCTGCGGGTGCTGGCGTGCCAGCGGGCAGTGCCCCCCGGCCTCGTCTTCCCGGCCATCGACACCGAGGGCTGCCTCTGCACCTCCAGCTACGTGAGCTGCTGGTCGGGAGAGCCCGTGGGATGGGGGCAGTCGGGGTCAGGTTGGGGGTGCCAGGGTGGGATGCAGGAGGTGGGAGTGAGCAGAATGTGGTTGACAGCATGGAAAGGGGGGGGGGGGGGGGGCATGGGGATGGTACCCGGGGGACAGGACTGACTCCAGGACAGGGGTGACTCCTGGCCGTGCCCCCCCAGCGCTCCCTGGGCGTCCAGTGGCAGGCGGTGGGCTCGGCGGAGGCAGAGGTGTTTGTGATCGAGCGAGCCATGCACACCATCACCGGCGTCTCCACCACCTGGCACAGCAGCTTCCTCCCCAACGGGTATGGGGGGGGGGTTCAGCCGAGGGCACCCCCAGCCCTGCCAGCCTAGCAGAGACCCAGGAGGGGGGTCACCAGCTCTCCCCCCTGCAGGCGTTTGGCCCGGCTGGAGCAGGTCGGCTGCCCGATGCTGGTGTTTCTGCAGGATGAGTCTGTCCTCAGCGAGACAGGTACGGGGAGGGGGAGGCTTGTGCCCCGCAGCACGGGCAGCCCCTGCCCGCTGTCTGGCGGCTGAGTGGGGAACACCCTGCCCCACCTTTCTGCTGCCAGGGAGGGGCGAGCCCCGGCCCCTCTTTCCCAAACAGCCCCTGGACTGGGAGGAGGACATCCAGCTCCGCTCCTGGTTCCTGGACAGGAAGGTGAGATGGGGGGGACAGGGGGCTGTGCCACTCTCCAGCAGGATCTCCCCTGGGGGGTCCAGGGGGCACAGGGCGGGGTGGGGGGTGGGGGGGGGGGCAGGCTGGCCAGCATCCTCTCCTACACCCCCTCAAGTGTGGGAAAGGACCCAGGTACCCTGCCCCACCACCCTGGAACAGCACCCCGAGGAGGGGGGACATTGGTGCCCATGCCCACCCCACTGCAGGAGGAGCTGCAAGCGTCCCACGCCGCCTACATCCATCGGCACCCTGAGCTCTGGGTACTGCTGGCTGACTTCCTCCAGGCCCTGCTTCTCCAGCAGCCTCATGACCCCGTCTCCTTCGCTGCCCAATTCTTTGCCCCCCAGGAGCCCCCCAGCAGCCTCTTTGCCTCCTCCGGGGCTGCCAACCCCCTCCCCAGCCCCCCACCTCCCCACCCTCCAGCTAATGGCGAATAAAGCTGCTTCACACTGCTTGTCCAGGCTCGTTTGCCTTGGGGAAACTGAGGCACGGGGAGAAGAGGGGGGCTGGGTTGCATGATAATGCCCCCCCCCCCCCATGCCAGTCTAGGGGGACACTGTCCCCCTCCCAGCTGTTCTAGCCCTTGCCTGGGATGGGGGGTGCCTGAAGCAGGGCCAGGCTCATCACCCAGTGCCCACCACCCCCCTCTCCCCCCTGGGGGCAGACCCCGATGCCCGCCTCTCCGTGGGGCACAGCCCGGCTGGCAGAGGGGTGCCCCAAAGAAGCGCCTGCCTCCATAGCCACGAGGGTCCTGAGGATGGGGTTGCCCCGCTTTTGTGGGCGCAGCCTGACCTGCGACGAGGCTGAGCACCCCATCTTTGGGGTGAAGGTCACACCGCCCCGGGGGGGGCGTGGGCACCCTGCGCCGCGGAGCCTGCCAGGCCGGGCGCTTCCCCCTGCAGCTGAGGGTGCATTCTGTCGTGCTCATGTGCTTGTGCAACGCACGCCTGCTTCCTCCTCGTTCCCACTCCTCCGGCCTTTCCCCTACTCCCGTGGGGCCACCGCTCCCTCCCCACGCTGCCGGACACTGTCCCCTGTCCCCCACCCACCCACCCAAAGAGCTGGACCCCTGGCACGTGATGGAGGGTGACACGCAGGCACGCTCCCACCCCCCTGGGTACCCTGAGTTGGGTGCCTTGTGTTTGCACGTGTGTGTGCATGGCAAGGGGGAAGGGAGGTGCTGGTTCCCCCCCCCTCTCCTGGCACAGGGTGGGGAAACTGAGACTGTGTGCATTCAGAGCACCCAACTACCTCCCCCCCTCCCCCCTCAGCCAGGGCCCCTTTCCCAACCCAAGCCATTGGGTGGGGAAGGAGCACTTCCTCCTCCTCTTCCTCTCCTCCTTTGGGGGGGGGGGGGGTGGTGGTGTGGTGGTGGGTGGAAACTGAGGGGTCATTTAAAAGCTGGGTGGCGGGCACTGCACTCACTGTCAAGATCAAGGTTCCCTATCAGCATATCCGGATCGGGCCCAGCAATGGCATCACTGGAGCCAGGTGAGCCCCATGGCACCTGGGTCCCCCCCCACCTCCTTTCCTCCCCCGGACCCCTTTCCCTCCACTCCAGGACCCCTGGCTCTGTTCCCCGCCTCCCCACCCTCCTCAGCCTGTCCTGGCTTCCCCACCTGCCCCATCCTCTGTTCTCCCAAGCCCACCCATGATTCACCCACGCTCCCAGGACATGGGTGGGCTGGCGGGGGGGGGGGTGGGGGGTGGGTTGTGGATTGGGACCAGTACCAACCTTTTGTCCCCACTCTATGCCCATGCAGCAGCAGGACCCAGAGCAGGGACCCCTCCAGTCCCTCCTGCCCAGAAATGCACTCGGCTCTCAGACTGGTGAAGATTGGGCTGAGACCAGGGGTTTTTAGGGACACCTTCAGGTGGTATCTGACCCCTTTGGGTAGCCACTGACAGCCCCCATATAGCCACTTTCACACCCCCCTGGAAAAATGGGGCTCATCCCTCATGGGACTCACCAGACAGGGGCTGGTGGGACCGGGGGGAAGTCAGTACCAGGGCTGCCAGCCCACCAGTGTCCTTGCCCCCACTCCCCTCTTTCTCTTCCTCACCCCCCTCCCCAGGCCTCACCGGGTCCCTGAACCAGGGCCAAGCCCAGACTTATGGCACTGGCGGGAGCTCCGTGCCCCCCCAGCGCTCTGGCACCCACGACCAGACCTACCTGGACGAACGCATCAGCATCCCCAAGGACGGCGGGGTAGGCGCTGCCAGGCTGGCACCTCTGTCTGAGGGTGGGCAGAGACAGGGCGGGGGGGCTTCAACCTCGAGTTGGGGAGGCAAAGAGCCACTGCAGGGGGGAGGAAGACGTGCCTGGGACATGCCCTGGGGACCTCAGCGTCCCCAGACCTGGCTCAGGCAAATCACAGCCCCAGGCGGGGCATTTCTACACTTAAAGGTTTCCAGAAGGGGAAACTGAGGCACGGGGTGAGGTGCTACCCAGCCACAGGGATCACCCCGCTGCTCACACACCTCCCGGGCTCCTTGTCCTGGGCCACCCATGCCCAGCCCAGTGGGGCTCCCCCAGGCTGCCTGTGCCCTGCCAATTCCCCCATCCCTGCTGGGGGGGGGTGGGCTGGTCCCGTGGGGCAGAAGGCAGAATAGGAAGGAATGGGGGTTCCCCTGCCGGGAGGGGTGGTGAAAGCTGGACTCAGCAGCGAGATCCCACCCGGTGCGGTTACAGCGCCGGGACCCCCCTGTAAATCACTGTCCAACCTGCCTCTGGGTGGGTTGGGGGGGGGGGAGGGGGGGCTCTTGCTTTTCCCCCGCTAAGTTCCACTGCTATCGGAGAGGGGCTGGGGGGCAGCAGTTCCCTCCCCAAAGCGGGTGGGAGAAACGTCCTCCCCGTGTGAAACGCAGCCGTGCGGGCAGCGCTGGGCGTCCCAGCACTGGGCTAAAGAGGACTGGGAGTGCAACTGGGAGACGCTGGTTTTGAAAGGGAGGTCCTCGCTCTGACCTGCTGGCTCGTCCCAGCCCGGTTTCAGCTTTAGGAAACTCTGGGCTTTCACCGGTCCCGGCTTTCTCATGAGCATCGCCTACCTGGACCCAGGCAACGTGGAGTCGGACCTGCAGTGCGGGGCGGTGGCCGGCTTCAAGGTGAGCCCTGGGCCCCCCCAGCCCCGGGCTCAGGAAGCAGCTGGGGGTTTTGTAACCTCTCCCGCGCCAACGGCTGCTCAGCCCCATGGCAAACCGGCTTCCCCAGCCCGGGGAGAGGGAAGGGCACGGGGGGGGGGGGGGGGGGGGGGGAGAGGGCTCGGCACCGGGGGACGACAGCCAGGGGTGCAAGAGGGCCACCTCTCTCCCTGGGCTGGGGACTCCAGCCCCTCCAGGCTCCTCTTCCCCGCATCTCCGGGCTGGTTGATAACCTTGCTGGGAGCTCTGGGTGGCCAGATTCTGCCCAGTGCTCAGCCCCTGCTGCCCACCCCCCCCACCCCCCCCCCCCAGCTGCTGTGGGTGCTGCTGTGGGCCACCGTCCTGGGGCTGCTGTGCCAGCGCCTGGCCATCCGGCTGGGTGTCGTGACGGGGAAGGACCTGGGCGAGATTTGCTACCTCTATTACCCCAAGGTGAGCAGCCCCGGGGGGAGCCCCCCCGGAGGGTCACACCCTGGGGGGACCCCACGCTTGGGCTGGTGATGGTCCTGGCAGGGACTGGAGGGGGGGGTGCTGAAGAGGAACGCCTTTCCCAAGGGCTCCCCAAAGCCCCTTCCCAGCGCTGGTGCCCCCATCTGATACCCACACAACCCTGCAGGACAGGGACCTGGGGCGAGGAGGGAGGAAGGCGCTACCTCGGTGTCCTGGTTTGATTTGGGGACGCGTGAGCGCGTCCTCCGGGGGGGGTGGGGGGGGGGGGTGAGCCCGGGTGTTGGGGCAGCGACGCGCAGCCGAGATGCGGGGCGAGCCTGGGCTCGTCGGTGCAAGGAGTTTGGGGGGGCTCCGGGGGGGTTGGAAAACAGCAAAGGGGGGCAGGGAGCTAGGGGTCCCGCCTAGACAGCAGGATCCTGATGGGGGAGAACAAGCGATGAGATGCTGGCTGAATGACAGATCCCCCAAAAGGAGGGCTGGATACATCCCCCTGCCCCAGCACCCCTCAGGAGCACCATATCCAGACAGCTGGGTCCTGTGCTCAGCTCCCACTGGGGCAGAGATGGAGGGGGGGGGGGCAGGCTGGGATTTTTAGGATCCATCTTGCACCCTGAGATTGTGTCATGGGAGAGGCTGGGGGGTGGTGGGGGTGTCTCCCAAGGTCCCCATGCTGCTCTGGGTGACCTGCCACAGCCTGGGGACAGGGACAGGGGTCTCCACCCTGGAGGCTGTGCCAGCTTACCCGGGGCCGAGCCCTGCTGTGGGTTCTGGCACCTCAGGGTGCCCCGGCCCCTCCAGGTACCCCGCGTGCTGCTCTGGCTCATGATCGAGATCGCCATCATCGGCTCCGACATGCAGGAGGTGATCGGGACAGCCATCGCCTTCAGCCTGCTCTCAGCCGGCCGGTGAGCCGCCCCACGGGGACCCCCCAGGCTCCCCTATGGCTCTTTCCACTGAGGGGCACGTGTCTAACGCCCCCCTTGCCATCCCACAGCATCCCCCTCTGGGGTGGTGTCCTCATCACCATCGTAGACACCCTCTTCTTCCTCTTCCTCGACAAGTACGGTGAGTGCTGGGGCAGGGGGAATGGGGGGGGACCCCTCACCTGGGCAGCCTATGTGGCACCGGTGTCCCCCACTCTGTCCCACTCCATCTCTCGGCTCCTCTAGGACTCCGCAAACTGGAGGCTTTCTTCGGCCTCCTCATCACCATCATGGCCCTGACCTTCGGCTACGAGGTGAAGTGGGGAGCTGGGGACACCCCTTTCCCTGCAGGGCACTGGCAGGGGACCCCCATGGGGCATCCCGACTGGCAGCGGGCTGTGGCGGGCGGGGGGCCAGCTCACAGAGCCCCTTCCCACTGGTTCCCAGTATGTGGTGGTGAGGCCGAAGCAGGCAGAGGTGTTGAAGGGCATTTTCCTGCCCTACTGCCCGGGCTGCGGGCGAGAGGAGCTGCTCCAGGCCGTGGGCATCGTTGGCGCCATCATTATGCCCCATAACATCTTCCTCCACTCCTCCTTGGTCAAGGTGAGACCGAAGCACTGCCATGGGCACTGCCACCCCAGGGTGTCTCAGGGGACACTTGGTGGGGACCCGCTGGTCCTGGCCGTGGGACAGGGGTGCTCGCCTGACCCCATGGCACCCATGTCACCCGCCGTGCCCAGACACGGGAGATCGACCGGTCCAAGAAGGAGGCGGTGCAGGAGGCCAACATGTATTTCCTGACCGAGTCCTGCCTGGCCCTCTTCATCTCCTTCCTCATCAACCTCTTCGTCATGGCCGTCTTCGGCGAGGCTTTCTACCGCCAGCGAAACGAGGACGTGGTGAGTGTCACCTCGCGCCCGTGGGGAGGTGACGGCTGTGCCCACGAGTGGGGCGAGCATCCCTTGGAGAGTGGGAGCCCTCGTCCCCTGAGACGTGGTGTGTGGGGGGGGTGTCCACCCGTGTCTGTGGGGACTACTGGGTGGCCGTCACGCTCATGCCTGCCGTGCCTTGCAGCACAACAAGTGCATCAACAGCAGCGTCAGCCACTATGCTGACATCTTCCCCGCCAACAACAAGACAGTCTCTGTGGATATCTACCAAGGGGTGAGTGGCCCCCCAGCTGTGCCCAGCGGGCATCTGTACCCATTTGGGGGACATAGCACTTCCCCCCCATTGACCCCTGGGGCTGGGGGCTGCCGTGACCTTGCTGGAATGCCGGGAGCTGATGGGGAGGCGCCTGGGGTGGGGGATGTTTTGGGGTCCCCATGGGAGTGTCTCCGACCAGGGTGTCATCCTGGGCTGCTATTTCGGGGCGGTGGCACTGTACATCTGGGCCATCGGGATCCTGGCAGCGGGACAGAGCTCCACGATGACCGGGACCTACGCGGGGCAGTTCGTCATGGAGGTGAGGGACTGGGGATGATGACCCTCACCCCCACGGGGAGCAGCTGGGAGAGGAAGGAATCATGGGTGGGCCCTGGGTGGTGGGTCCTATGGGCAGCATTCCCCCCTCCGGGGTATTTGGCAGTGTTAAACGCCCCCCATTCCTGCAGGGATCAGGGTATGGGGCATTGCAGCTTGCTAGCACCAGGGTTCCTGGTCCCCAGGAGGTGGGATGGGGACAGTGCCCACCCATTGCTGCTGCATGGCCACCTACTGTGACACCCCCTCCCAGAGGCACCCTGTGGGTGCCCCACGCAGTGTTTCCCTAATGAGACCGTTTGCTTAATGAGCTGAAGCTGACATCTAGTGGGGCCCAGCAGCCCTGCAAGGGCCCGCTCAGGGCCCTGGCACAGGAGGAGGGGATGTTGCTGCCCTGTGTTCCTCCGAGCCAGGGTTTGGGGGGGGGCTGCCCCAGGCACTGTGAGGGGCAAGGGCACAGGTGTCGCTGTGTCCCCAGGGCTTCCTGCAGCTCCGGTGGTCTCACTTCGCCCGGGTGCTTTTCACCCGCTCCTTCGCCATCCTGCCCACTGTCTTTGTGGCCGCCTTCAAGGATGTCAGCCACCTCACGGGCATGAATGACCTGCTCAACGTCCTGCAGAGCATCCTGGTAAGCTGGGGGGGGGCGGAGGAGGGGCAGCATCAGATCCCCAACACTCCAGCCTGGTGGCCATGGCCCCCTCACCCCCCCTCTCCTTCCAGCTGCCCTTCGCCGTCCTGCCCGTCCTCACGTTCACCAGCCTGCACCCACTCATGCAGGACTTCGCCAACAGCCTGTGAGTACCAGGGTGGGGGGAGGCACAGAGGGGGGCACCCCAGTTGCAGGGGGCCCATCCTGCCCCCCCCCACCCCTACCACGGGGGGAAGCTGGCGTATGGGTGTTAGGGGGAGCATGTTCATTCCCACCTGCCCAGGGCAGCCAGAGCGGGACAGACCCCGTCACTGCCCTCTCCATCCTCATCCCAAAGCCCCCCACGGGCATCCCTGGGTGCTCAGCACCCTGCCAGCCCTGCATTCGGAGGGTGGTCAAAGCCCATGCCCAGAGCCCCACCGTGGGGGGTGTAGTATGGCTGTGGGGTGCAGAGATGTCCTCGCTGGGGTCTTGCCCACCTACAGACCCAGATCCCCCAGACCGCTGTGCCCGGTGGCACACGGGATGGGGGCTCTGCCCTGGCGCTGATTCCCACCCCCCCGGCCCGCAGCCCGGGGAAGGTGCTGATGACCCTCATCACGGGGCTGGTCTGTGCCATCAACATCTACTTCGTGGTGGACTTTCTGCCCACGCTGCAGGGCCTGGGGTACTACATCCCCCTGGGCCTGCTGCTGGCTGCCTACGTGGCTTTCGTCGCCTACCTGGTAGGGATGGCACTGCGGGGAAGGGGCACTCGGGTGGGGGGACGGCGTCCCGGGTGGGTGCCCAGTGACCTGCCCCTCTTCGCCCCCGCAGATCTGGACGTGCAGCATCGCGCACGGAGCCCAGTTCCTGGCCCGGGGCCACCACAGCCGGTTCAACTTTGGCGTCTCCCTCGACCCTCCAGCGCTGGCAGGGACGCGGTGACAGACCCCATCCCACCTTACTGCCTCCCCCTCCCTGCCCAGCACGGCCCCCCCCCCCCCCCCCGGCACCGATTTGATGGTACGCCGAGCCCGGGGATGATGTTCTGGCCAGAGATGCGCCCAGAAAGGAAGGGGTTAACAGCCGGGCAGGCCTCTCCCCAAGTTTTTAGAGCCCCCTCAAGTCAGAGGTGCTGGTCCGGGGGGGGGGGGGGGGGTGCGGGCAACGGGAGGTGCCTCCAGCCCTTGCCACCCAGGCTTCAGTGAATGAGCTGCCCCGGAGACCTCCCCTCCTCATTAGTGCCGGGAACCGCCGGCCCCCGGGACCGCTAATTACCGCCGGGGACCGCTAATCACCACCTGGGACCGCTAATTACCGCCTGGGGCCGTTATCCATCCCTCACCGCCCGGGGACGGCGGAGCCGGGGCCGCCAGCCCGGGATCGGGCCCAGCCCCCGGACCGGAGCGGCTGTGAGCCCCACGGGGGGGGGGGGGGGGGGGGGGGGGGCTCCTAAACTCGGGGAGGGGGGGCTGATAAATGACGTGTTTGTAACTTGAACCCAGCCTCGCTGCTGTTGCGCGACTCCAGGGCGGGGAGAAGGGGACACCCCCCCCCCCCCCCCCCCCCCCCCCCCATACCCCGGGCCGAACCCTTTGCCTCAGACTGGGGTGGCGTGGTTGGGAGGGGTGGTGTGGTGGCGGTATTGCATACACCCACGAGTGGCTGTGGGGGCGCGGGAGGGGGTGCTCCCTGCCGACTCTTTGCATTCCCTCGGGAGGAGCGGGGAGGGGGGGGGGGGCCCACCGTGCCCTCTCCGCCCCGGATGCCCCGTTTCCCGCCTGCCGACACCGCCGGATGCGGATGCGGGGCCGCTCGGGCCCTTCCCGGGAGTGGACGTCGTGTCGTGTCCCGTTCCCCCCCCCACCACCACCACCACCACGGGTGGGGGGTCCCGGCGCGCTTCTCCCCCCGCCGCGGCCCGCACTTGCGAGACGCTCCCTGACTGTTTCAAGGCTCCCCCCCCTTTTCCCAGTACCCCCCCCCCCACCCCACCCCCCTCAAAATCCCCCTTCCCAAACCAGCCCGGCCGAGAGGTGGAGGGGGGGAATTTGGGGGACCGGACACCCCCCCACCCCCCGCTCCGTGCCGTGCCCCCCCCCTCTCCGGGAAGGAGACCCCCCCCCCCTCTCCCGGGGGCCGCGCTTGTTTATGTGAAGAATTTCCCCTTCCTTAAAAGGGCGATGCCTGCCGATTTGGGGCGGTGCCTCCCCCCCCCCGCCTCCGCGTTGGCCCGGCCTCGGGCTGCTTGAAGGAGGAGCCACAGCGGTGGGGCCCACCGAAAAGCGGGGTGTCAGTCCGTCCGTCCGTCCGTCCCCCCCCCCCCCCCCCCCCGAAAGAGGGCACAGCCAACCCCAGTCACCGGGAATGCCACGGGCCCTGGGGAGGAGAAGCCGAGACCACCCCCCACACACACGCACGGTTTTTACAAGACGCACCCTCACCCTGCGGTACGGGGCTGGGGGGGGCGGGGGGGGCGCGGGGTCGTCCCCAGTGGGTGCTGGGGTGTGCGGGGTGCAGGGAGCTGCCCTACGGTTCATCCTGGGGGGGCAGGGGGTCCCCAGGGCTGTGCCGGCAGGGATTGCCCATCTCCGGCGGCCCCCCCCCCCCCCCCCCCCCCCCCCCAGCCCCGTAGCAGGAGGTGTCCAGCTCCGGGCCCCAGCCCTGGGGCAGCGCTTGGTGGGGCAGAGCTCCCGGGGCCGTGGTTAACTGGGGGAACGGGGGCCAGCGTGGGGGACCCCAGCCTAGGGGTGGTGGGGTGGCACAGAAGGGGCCCTCGGTGCCCTTCTGCCCTGTGCCCGCGCCCCGCAGCCCACACATCCAGCTGGGGTCTGCCTGCTCCCGGCTGGGGCTGGGGGTGAAGGATGAGGTCCCTGTCCCTACAAGCCCCATGTCCCCAGCTTGTCCCACAACCCCAGATGGGGACAACCTCCCCCCCCCCCCAACTCCGAGCTCCCCAATCTGAGCAGGCAGCAAGGTCGGAGGTGATGCTCTGGCTGCAGGCGTCTGGCCTGGAGATTTTCCTAATTACATTAATTAGAGGCCAGGCAGGGCCTGGCTGAGCTGGGGCTGTCGCCTGTGCGTGGCTCATCAGGGAGGGAAGAGAAGGATTGGACCCGAGGGACGTGGGCTCTGGAGGGGACTGCGTGTGGCCTCCACAGCTGTCCCCCACGGCGAGCAGTGTCCACCGGCGCCTGCGCCCAGCCCAGCCAGCCCACTGGGGACGCGGCAGGCATCCCACCCGGCTCCACCTGGGCTAAGGGAGCAGCACAGGTCGGCCCAAAATAGAGTGGAAGAAGCACAGCCTCTTCCTTCCTCTTCCTCCAGCCTGGCCAGGGGAGCTGGCTGGCTCCCTGCCTAGCGCTGAGGCGGGGCAGGGAAACTGAGGCACGACCGCTGCCCGCTGTCAGAGGAGGTGGCAGGACGAGGTGTCCCGGTTCCCAGGTGCAGCCCGGTCCCTGCCATGGCTCCCCCCGGGGATTCGGGGTGCCCGGCGCGGAGCCGGGAGCGAGGGAGCAGCAGGTGGGAAGCGGCTTTTGCTCTGCCACCGTTTCCGCCACCTGCTTGGACCCGCCGGCCCTGCAGCACCCTAATTATTCTCTGGGTAGCGGGGTGGGGGCACCTCCTGATGTGGGACCCCATTTCCCAGAGGGGCAGAGTGGTAACCACCTCGGGCATCGCTGCCTCGGGGACACTCTCAGCCCCTGAAGTTCCCAAACCACAGCCGGGTGAGGTGGAAAGACCCCCGAGAAGCTCAGAGGGGGAATTTCCAACTTTCTCTCTGCCCCCCCTCCCGGGGGCAGCGCTGACAGAGGGCACAGCACCAGATGTCGAGGGAGGGGGTGACCGGGACCAGCTGGGAACCTGCCCCAGGGCCGGAAGGTGCTGGGGGGGGACCGTGGGGCAAGGCTGCCCTGGCAGGGCCCGGCCGGGTGCGTGGGTGGGGGGCAAGGGGGCTGGAGGATGCCAGCACATGGGGGAGTTGCGGGGGGCGGGGGGGGTGGTGCAGGAGTTTCCCCTGAAGGGGTTGTCGCATCCTCAAGCTCCCGGTAAGAACTACTTTTTGGGGAGTGGCTAAACCCCCCCCCCCCCAGAAGGCATGAGGGGAGGAATTGCAGAGGCAAGTATATATATTGATAATATGTAATTTCCCAAATAATTGGGGAATTGCAGGGGAAAAACAAAGAATGGGAAAAGCAGGCTGTTGTTGGTGCAGCCCCCACTGCACGTTTTGCCCCGTGCCCTGACCCGCCCTGGCAATGGGGAACGTGTCCCGGGGGGGGCGGTGGGGACCCCCCAGCCTGGAGCCACCGCATCCCGGGGTCTCTGCCCCAGGAAGCACCCAGCATTGGGGGGGGGGGGGGGTGTTGGGCGCTTCCCTCCTTCCCCCGGGACTGCCAGCTGGATGGGGACTGACACCTTGGGGTAACAGCGGGGCTGATCCCCTTCTCCGTTATCCCTGAGCCGGGGCGGCGGGGACCTCCGTGTGCGGGGGGGTGGGGTGGTGGTGATGCGTGGGGTGCGCGTCCCTTCTCAGCCAGACCTGCGGCGCAGACGCCACCCCCTGCACCCCGAGTCCCGGCCGCGGCTTACGGCGGGGACACCCCCCCCCGCTCCTCCCACGCGGGGCGGGTGCTCCAGCAGCAGGAGGAGGAGGAGGAGGAGGAGGAAGAAGAGGAGGGGGGGGCCCCCCCCCTCGGCGTTGCCCTTTTAAGGGGTTCCTTGAAACCGCGCCCGGGTTCCATGTTTGCAGCCCCAGCCCGGGCGGAGGAAACTCCATGTTGTAACAAAGTTTCCTCCGCGGCGCCGCTCCCGCGCGCCCGCCGCCCCGCGCCGCCGCCGGCCCCCGCCCCGCCTCCCCCCCCCCCCCCCCCCCGGGGGCCGCGCCGGGGGGGGCCGCCCCCTCCCACCCCCCCCCCCCCCCCCGACACCCCCCCCGGCGCCCATGGAGCACCAGTCCATCATCGCCCAGGTTAGCAGGGAGGAGGGGAGCGCCCCGCTGCAGGAGAAAGGTAACGCGGAGGCGGGGGGGAGGAGGATTCCTGGGCCCCCCCCCCCCCTCCACCCGCCCACGGTGCGGGGTGGGGGAATCTCCGGCGCTGGTGGGGGGGGGGACGGGACCTGCGGACGGTTGGTTCTGGAGGGTGTGATGAGCTGCGGGCGGGCTCAGCCTGGCCCCGCGCGTCCCGTTGCCCCAGGGCTGGGGTGGGGGGGGGGGGGGATGCTCTAGGGCACGGGGGGGGGGGAGCGGAGAGTGTGCACCCCCGCCTGGGTGTCGGGGACCGCGCTTCGCCTCCCCCCACTCCCTCCGACGCCCGTCGGTGACCCTGGGGTGGTCGGGGCGCTGCTCGGGCGTATTTGCGCTGTTTCCTCCGGAGCTGGGCGGGGAGTGCACCCAGCGCCGGTGGGGAAACTGAGGCAGGGAGAACGGGCCGAGCACCGGGCACCCCGCTGCCCAGCCCGGCCTCCCGTGTCCCTCCCCCCCCCCCCCAGCGCAGGGGTTTTGGCGGGGAGCGCTGCTCATCCCGCTGCCCGCCGGTCTGGGGAGCCGGCAGGGCCGGGGGTGGTGGGGCCGAGCGTGGGAACGGGCCCCGTCCCCAGTGGGGAGCTCCTAGCCCACGGGCTCTCTGCCATGGGGCGCCCCGCGGGGCCCTGGCGCGGCTGCTGGGGGGGCACGACCAGGGGCAGCTGCGGCTCCCGGCCCGGCCCGGCGGCAGGATCCGTCCCGCGGGGCCGGTGGGGAAGGGGCTGGAGCCGCCGCGCTACCCCCGGTGCCCGGGGCGGGCAGGAGCTGCCCCCCTGCCTCAGTTTCCCCTTGATCCGCCAATGGGGACGGCGGGAACGGCGCCCGGGGGCGGGCACCTCGCCCTGATTGGTCTCTCTCCTCCGGTGCGCTCGAGTCGGCCAATGAGAGCGGGGGCTGGCTGGGGGCGGGAGAAAAGAGAGGCTGTAAGCCCCGCCTCCCTTCGGCGAGGCCCCGCCCACAGAGCCACCCACCCGCGTGGGTCTGCGCCCCCCGTGGGGGGGGGGGGACGACAGCGGGGATGGGGCCGGGGGTCCACGGCGGCCCCGGGAGGTGCCGCAGCGGCCGCGGCTCCCCCGGGGGGGGGCAGAGCCCCCTCTGTTATTGTGGGGTCTCCAGCCGCGCCGGGGGGGGGGGGGGCCCACGGGGGTTCTCCGAACACTCGTGTCCGCGGCGCTGCCCCCGGCGCCGACGCTCGGCGGGGCAGGAAGGGCGGCCGGATGGGTGCCGGGCGCTGATAAGAAAGAGCTCGGGGGGCTGCGGGGGGCACCCCCCGTGTCCGGCATCAATACCCCAAACCCGGCACACGCCCCCCCCCAACCCTCCCCACCGTGCCGGGGTTTTGGGGGTGCTCCTGCCCCCTTACCCCCCATTCCTGGGCCCCCCCCCCCCCCCCCCCCCCCCCCAGGTACCCAGGCCCCCGCCAAGAAGCCGCGGAGCCGCAGCATCCTCCAGTCCCTCTTCTGCTGCCTGTGCCGCGATGAGGGGGAGCCCTGCGCCGGCACCACCAGCGCCCCGCTTTTGGTGGAGGAGAACGGGGCTCTGCCCAAGGTACCCCCCCCCCCCCACACCCCCCCCCACTTGGCATTAGAAGGGGGGGAGGTCAGCGCTGGGGGGCTGCCCATCCCCAGCGCTTCCCCCCTGTGCCAGGATGGGGGGGGGGGGCTAAATGGGCTTCCCCCCCCATCCTGTGCCCACACTCTGGGTCAGCAGGAGGGGAGGGGGTGCCCCTCACCACCCCACTGACTTTTGGGTTGGGGTTTGCCTGTGCCCCCCACGCCCCCCCCCAGGCTGCTGTCAAACACCTCCTGCCCGAGATCAAGCCGCAGGACGCCAGCAAGCTCTGCGTGGTCATCGACCTGGACGAGACGCTGGTGCACAGCTCCTTCAAGGTTGGGGGACACCCTGGCCCACCCCACCCTTCCTCCCCCATATACCCCCCCCCCCCAAGTGATCCCCCAGGCACCCCACAACCAGCACCCTGCGCAGCCCTGCTGGGTCCCTGCGAGGGGGCAGGGGGTGCCCGCCCGGTGCTGACCCCGCTGTGCCCTCCCCAGCCGGTGAACAACGCCGACTTCATCATTCCCGTGGAAATCGACGGCATCATGCACCAGGTAACGGGGGGGGGGGGGGGGGGGGGCACAGCTCCCTCTGCCCCCTCCCTGGGGACCGGGAGCTGTCCCAGCGCTCCGCACCGAGGGACGGTCGGGGGTGTTGGGGTGAGAGGGCTGGTGGGACTTTTGGGGGGCAGGGGTGGGTTGTCCCTGTTCCCAGGGGGATGGGGGGGGAGGTGTGTGTGGGGGGGGTGGTGTCCTGGTTCGGTGCCCTCCTGAAGTGGCCGGCCCCGGGTTCAAGTAATCCAGGATAGGCTGTGGTCTGGGCGGTCAGCCTGTTCTCGGTTACTTGGCCCTGGAGCCGGCCGGACGCTTCGCCCCGGATTTGCCAGCGGGGCCGTGGCAGCCCCCCCCACGCGGGGCAGCCCCCCCCCAGCCCCCCAAACAACACGGGGCACAGGCGGCAGCCCTTTACCCCCCTCCCTCTGCCTTCCCCAGCAGGGAGCTGCTGAGCGCGGGGACAAGGGGGTGTCCCCCCTGGGGTGGGTGTGGGGGGCCGGGGGGGCTGGCGGCGCGCTGCCCGCTGCCCCGTGCCCCCGCAGGTGTACGTGCTCAAGCGGCCGCACGTGGACGAGTTCCTGCAGCGCATGGGCGAGCTCTTCGAGTGCGTGCTCTTCACCGCCAGCCTGGCCAAGGTGTGTGCCCCCCCCCACACCACCCCCCCCACACACACACCACCCCCCCCTTCCTGGCCACCCCTCCAGTGTCATAGCTCCCCGTGCCTGCTCGCCCCTCCGAGGCGCTGGCTGGGGAAACTGAGGCACGGGGCGCGCTGGCACCGGTGGAGAGCTGGGTGCCGTGGGGTGAGCGCAGTGGCGTGGCGTGCCCCGGTGACACCCCCACCCCCCCGCCCTCCCTGTGCCCACAGTACGCGGACCCTGTGGCCGACCTGCTGGATAAGTGGGGGGCTTTCCGGGCACGGCTTTTCCGGGAATCCTGTGTCTTCCACCGCGGCAACTACGTGAAGGACCTGAGCCGCCTGGGCCGCGACCTGCGCCGCATCATCATCGTCGACAACTCGCCCGCATCCTACATCTTTCACCCCGATAACGCCGTATGTACCCCCAGGGCGAGGCGGGGGCTGGGGGTACGGGAGGGGAGGTGGCAGGGGGAGGGGGGGGAGGGCCCCCCCCCCTCAGCCGCTGCCCCCTGCGCTGCCCGCAGGTGCCGGTGGCCTCCTGGTTCGATAACATGGCAGACACGGAGCTGCTGGACCTGCTGCCCTTCTTCGAGAGGCTCAGCAAGGTGGAGGACGTGTACGCAGTGCTCAAGAAGCAGCGGACTAACAGCTAGTGGCCCCCCCCCCCCTGCCCCACTGGGCGCTGCTGGGGGGGGGATGCCCACCGCCGTGGCAGCCGGGTGCCTTATTTTAGAGGGGGCGGGTGTGTGTGTGTGGGGGGGGTCCTGGTGTGTGTCCCCTGTCGTCCTCCCCAGCCCCGGTGGGCGCGGGAGCCCTCCCTGCCTGCTGGTGGTGGGAGATGTGGGTGCCCCCGCCGGGGAAGTGGGTGTCCCCTTTCCCGCGGAGGAGGGGGGGGGCCGTGGGTGACCCGCTGCCTTGCTGTGCTGGGGACTTGGGGGGGGGGGGGGGGGGGAGGGGGGTCCCGTCCTCCCACACTGTCCCGTTCCCTCCCCCTCCAACCTGCGTGCCCCCTCCCCAAAACGGTTCTCAGGTCCTTTATCCCTCCATGTCCCCCCAAGCGGGGAGGGGGGTCAGCAGCTGCTGCTTTCCACTGCCTTTGGGGGGGACTGGACCCCCCCCGTCCGGGCTCTGCCTGCTGCAGGGGCTGGCAGTCCTCGGTCCCTATCTGCAGGGGGGGGGACACAGGAAGGGTTAACCCCTTACCACCCCCCCAAAAATGGGGGTGGTCTTATTGGCCTTGGTGCATGGGGCCACCACCATACCCTTAACTCTGCCCTTGGTGCAGCTGATCATCTTGGGGGGAGGGAGGGCCATGTCCCTACCCCCACCTCGTGCCTTCTGCTGCCCCCCCGCCTAGGGGGTATGTTTTGGGGGGGGGGTAGCCCAGCCTCAGGGCTGAGCGCCTGTCCACAGCTGCCCCCCACGTGCCTTGGGACACCATGTCTCCGTGCCCCCAACCCAGCCCTGCAAGGGGTGTGCCTGGGGGGGGGACAGCATTTAAGTCACCCCCTCCAACCTCGGTTTATTCTCGGGGAGGGGGGGCTCTGATGGCCTCCCCCCTCTCTCCAGTTACACTGTGTCAGTAGGAGCCACTCCAGTCACCAACGGGGGGGGTCCTCCCCTTCCTTGGGGCGGGGGGTGTGTGTGTGTGCATGCACCCCTTCCCCATCTGTCTGCAGCTTCACCAGAGGCTGCAACTCTTAGGTAGGAGGGACCCCCAGACCAGCCTTAGTGTGCCCCCCCCCCCCCCCAGCCTTACCCCAGCCCCCCAGCTGGGACAGGGGTGGGGGGCACTGCAGGGTCCCACCCCCTCCCTGCAGCCTGGGGTTACCCTGACCCCCATGGGGTTGGGCTTGTGCCAGGGTGTCCCCCAGCCTTGAGGGGCTGGGGGCTCTCAGGGAGGGTTTGGGGCGGGGGGGGGGCTGAGCTCAGACAGGCCTTTTTTAGCGTCGCAATATGGACAATGTCTCATATCTTTTTAGGGAGAAAAGCAACGGTTTCCCAAAAAATCATGGGTGCCTTTTTACCGCTGTGCCAGGGATGGGGGCCGCAGTATTTTTGGTGGGGGGGGTGGGGGGGGGCGGAGATGCGAGGGATTTTAGCTCTCTGGTGCTGTGTGGCCGGCTCCTGCCGGCTGTGCCCTTCTCCCAACGCTGGGTGCCAAGGGTAGGCAAGGGTCCCCCCCCCAGGCCTGCCTGCACCCCTGCCTCCTCCCCCTGCCTCGTGGCGGGGGGGGGTGGGATGGGGGACACTGCGTCACACCCGCCCCCCCCAGACCCCTGCATGCCCTGGGCCTGATCCTGCCCCTCCAGGAGGGTTGAACTCAGCACTTTATATTAGACAAGTCAAACGGCACCAGCAAAGCCCGCTGCCCAGCGAGCACCCGTGGGTGCTGCAGCACCCGAGGAGCACAACCCCCACGCCGGGCACCCTTGGGGGGGGTCCGGAGGGGGGCTGGAGGCAGCATTGGGGGGGGGTGAGGGCTGGGGGACCAGATCCAAGTGCCTTCATGTGATTAAAGCTGTCAAACCATCTTGGAACGGGGACTCCTGTGTGTGTGCGAGTGCGCACGCGTGGGCATGGGTACGTGCATTGTGCGTGTCACTAGTGGGTGTGCGCCGGGGGGGTGGGGTGGGGGGTGTGCAGAGAGCACCTGGGATCCCCTAAATGCCCCTGGGAGGTGGGGATGCTGCAGGTCAGTGCTGGGGGAGCACCCTTGGGCTGCAGGGTTGGGGGGGGGGGAGGCGTTACCCCTTCCCTGGTGCCAAGGGGACGCTGTCAGGCTCCAGGGCAGCCACCCCAACCCCCCCCCCCCCCCCCCCCCGCCTCCCCAGCTGACCTGGCATCCCCATCCCAAGCCCTTCCCCCTCCTCCTGGAAAAGCGCCCCTGATGCCATGGGGATGGGTATCCTGCCCCTTAACAAAGGGGAGGCTGAATTTGCCATGTGGGCTTTGCACCCCCTGCTTTGGGGCTTGGGGAGGGGGGGTGGGTCACAAGCACGCCCTCAGTTTCCTCCAAATAGGGTGTCAGACCCCTCCTGCACAGACTGGGGGTCACTTGTGACCTCCCCCCCACCCCTCGAGCAGCCTGCTGCCAACATGCTGGCATTGGGGTGCTGGGGGGGGGGGGGGCTCTCTTATCTACCCCCCCGCCCCGTGCCCTCATTGGCCCTGTGCCTCTCCTCATTAACGAAGTCTCTGTCCTCCCTGATTGCTGCACTAATTACTGAGTTCATTAGTGGCCAAGCATATCTAGCTGGGGGGCCTGCAGAGGGGGCAAGCCCTGTGGGGCTGGCGCAGGGTCCCCCCACCCCTGTGCCACACCAGCAGACTCAGCTCTGGGACGCAGCCACCGAACGGAGAGCAGCCACCCGGGAGTCGCACCCCACCCAAAACTTGGCCCCACACCCCTGCTGGGGGCCTCTGCATCCAGGTAAGCGTCACCGGTGTTGGGGTGCGGGGGGTGGGAGCTGGGTGGCAGAGTTAGGAGGGTTTGAGGGGCAAGGGGAGTGGAGGACAACAGCAGAGCCCATCCATGTTGCATCAGGGCACCCCCTTGTTTGTGGCTGACACCCTCCTGGGCTGGTTCAGCCCATTGCCATCCCTTTGGGGATCCTTGGGGGGGGGGGGTTGGGGGTAGGTAAGATTTGGGGATGACTGCAGCCCGGGTCTGGTGCCAGGGTGATGGCCGGGGTGCAGGATGACCTCGGTGCTGGTGGCCAGGCTGCTGGCCCGGCAGGGTGGCCAGGAGAAGGCTGCGGCAATCCTGCAGGACTGGGGAAGGGATAACAGAGGGATGGGGAGCCTGGGGGCCTGCCTGCTGCTGTGAATCTCCCCCTTCCCAGCTTTATGTACCCCCTGGTTGTCCCCTAAAGCCCCCTCTGAGGCTGGGAGCCACTGGGCAGGTCTCCAGTCCCCTCTCCTCTCTGCCAACACCAAGGGCATCATCACGTACCACCCCTTGGGGTTTGGGGGCACAGGGCTTAGCCGTGCCACTGCCCTATACCCTGCCCCGTGCCCCCAAACCCCAACCCTATCCCTGTGCCTTCTTCCCATCGCCAAGGCTGGGGCTGCAGAGACCCCCAGCGTGGGGAGGCAAAGCTCATCGGTTGCTGAGCAGGGATCTGGCTTCCAGCTGGGGGGGGTGGCACAACCTGGGGTCGATGCCATGGGCAGGGAAGTGATGTGCCACCCCACGAGGACATGTGGGGTGGAAAGGGGGATGCCCTGGGGAGGTGGTGCTGCATTGCTGGTGGCTCTGAGCTGGTGGCACTAAAAAACCCCATCACCACTGGGCCGGGGGAGTGGAGGGCGGTAGTGTAGCCCAGCCCTGTGGCATCGACTTGTTGCTATCACTTTGGGGAGCCTTTTGCAGGGGGGGGGGAAGGCGCCAAGAAAACCTATTGCCACAGGCTGGAAGGGTTTGGGGGACTGGGGAATGGAGGGCAGCGGCAGAGCCCATTGCCATGGCATCTAAGCACCTCTGTGTTTGTGGCTGACACCCCCCTGGCCTGGTTCAGCCCATTGCTATCACTTCGGGGAACCTTTTGGTTGGGGGGCAGGCATCAAAAACCCCGTTACCATGGGCTCAGTGCCAAGGGCCAAGAGGGGAGCAGGCCTGGGAAGGGCAGCAGGTACCACCCTGGTCACAGCAGGTTGCCCTGTGCTGAAGTAACATCTCGGGGGCAATCACTCCATGAGTAACGGGGCTCCTTCAGGTGCCGTGAAGCCTTGGAGGGCTGTGGGGACCTTGACTCTGGGCCGTTCCTGCCCTTATATGGTGAAGACAGGCTGGGACAGGAGGGGACAAAGGTCTCCTGGGTGCTGGCACCCGAGCACTTTGCCTAGGTACACTCACCTGTGCCCAGCTCTGCGGGGAAGGTGAGGGGCTGGGATGGGGGGCTGCAGGGTGGGCATGGGGACGGGCAGCACGTCCCACAGCCACCACCGCTCTTGGCACCAGGGTGGCCTGGGGATGGGGCTTGGGGACCCACCCATGCCCCATCTTGGGGCTGTGCTGGAGGGGATGTCACCCCCTAGATCTGAGGGATGGGATGTGGGTGCTTTCAGGGCACTGCAGCGGGACCAGGCGGGGTTTTGTGGGGCTGGGGGAGCAGAGACCTCTCTGTCGGGCACCGCTGGCTCTCCCTGCCATGGGGGGTTTTGCCCAATGCTGGCTGCCTGACCTCCCCCCCCCCCAGCTAGCCAGCGAGCACTGCCAGCCTGGCAGAGATGTCTGCGGGCAACCTCGGCAGCACCGGGGCTGAGCCCTGGCACGCTCAGCACCTCTGTGGGGCCGGGCTGTGCCCTCCCCGGGGGGCACGGATCCGGCAGTGGAGTTGGGGGGTGGGGGGAGCTGAAGCAGGCCGAGTGTGCTTGCACATGTGTGTGTGCATGAGCGTCTGTGCCAGGCCACCAGCAGTGGCCGTGCCACGCTGTGTCACGTTGTGCCAAGCCGTGCCCGGACCAGGCTGAGCAGGGCCGGTCCCCGCTGGTGTCACCCAGCTGTGGCTGCTGCGCTGGGGACACCCTGCACGGCCCTGCCCCATGCCCGGGCACAGGGCAGGGCACCGGGGCGCTCAGGGGACACCCCCTCCTGCCCACTGCACACCCCGGCGCGGAGCCGTGACAGCCCCCATTAGCCACGGTGCCAGGCGGGCCAAGGGGGACAGCAGCCCCGCTTGTGTGCCCACAGACCTGGCACCGGGGTGCTGAGGGGGGGGGTCCCCTCACCTCGTGCAGCTCCGGACAGGGGGTTTATGGCCCGGCTGGCTGCAGACTGGGCAGGGCAGCAGATGGCATGGTAGGCTGGCACCATCCCAGCTCTTAATGACGGCACCTGCCATTAACGAGGGCGTTGCCGATGCCCCAGCAGGTCCCCTTGCCTGCAGCACCCGTCACCATGGTGGAGCTCAGCACCAAAGTCAGCAGGACGCTCAACAAGACCACGCCGGGCCTCCAGATATGGCGAATCGAGGTGGGGACGGGGGCGCAGCCTTGGGCACCCATCACCCGGGGCACTCACCATCGGACTGTTTGTGTGTGGGGGGGCTGCGGGAGGGAAGATCCCACCCCCCACCCCCCGCTTTGTGTCCTCAGTGCCTGGGTTCGGGGGTCTCAGTATGGCACCCAGGGTTAAACCTGCCCAGGTTTTGGGGCTGGGGGCAGCGGGGTGAGCAGGGCTGGGGTGGGGGTGGGTTTTCCAACAGGGCTGACGCTTCCTTTCCTTCTGCAGAACATGGAAATGGTGCCAGTGCCCGTCAAAAGCTACGGCAACTTCTACGAGGGGGATTGCTACATCTTGCTGTCGGTAGGGCAGCCTGGGGGGTGGGGGGGCTGGGGTGCAGGGAGGGGTGTCCCTGGCCAGAGTGGCCTGGGGACACGGGGTCTTTTCTAGTGGGGACCGGTGTCCTGCAGACACGCAAGAGTGGGAACAGCTTCAGCTACAACATCCACTACTGGCTGGGCAAGGAGTCGAGCCAGGACGAGCAGGGGGCGGCCGCCATCTACACCACCCAGATGGATGAGCACCTGGGCGCTGTGGCTGTGCAGCACCGCGAGGTCCAGGGCCACGAGAGCGAGACCTTCCGCGCCTACTTCAAGCAGGGACTCATGTACGTTGGTCACCCCCCCCCGGGGACCTGCTCCCACAGCGGGTGACGGGGGCAGGGACCCCGTGGGGGCTTCTCCAGTGGGGATGGGGACAGCCCTGTTCCAGTGGGGCGGGGGGAGGCAGGAGGAGGATCTGGAGCTGGTCTCGCTTTATCCATCAGCCACATGGGTGGGTGGGGGTCCCCGAACGCCTCCCTGCTCGCAGAGGTGGGAGGGGGGGACCCTGTTGGAGCAAGAAGAGGGCGCCCAGGGCTGACACTGTGTCTGTTCCCCCCCCAGCTATAAGAAGGGTGGGGTGGCCTCGGGCATGAAGCATGTGGAGACGAACACCTACAACGTCCGGCGCCTGCTGCACGTGAAGGGCAAGAAGAACGTGGTGGCAGGAGAGGTGAGTTATGGGATGTGGGGGTTGCCCAGCCACCAACCTCTATGCAGGGATGCTGTTTGGGGTCAGGATCAGACCAGAGCCCCCCCAGACAAAGCTGCCCTCAATCAGGGGACAGAGTGTGTCTGTGGCCACGCCGCCTTGCCTCAGGAGCAACCCTGTCCCCAAAAAGCCCTTCTCGGGGTAGGGAGGAGGAATACAGGCTGGAGGCATCAGCACTGAGCCAGATTGGGTGGGGGCTGCAGAGCCAGGGAGATCCAGGCATCCTGCTGCTTGACCCCCCCCCACCCAATCCCATCCCGCTGCAGGTGGAGATGAGCTGGAAAAGCTTCAACCGGGGGGATGTGTTCCTGCTGGACCTGGGCCAGCTCATCATCCAGTGGAACGGCCCTCAGAGCAACCGAAACGAGAGGCTGAAGGTACAGCCGGGGGGGGGGTCTCAGGGTCTCCTCCTGAAGGAAGGGTGTGACTAGCCACCCCCTCCCTGATCCAGGCTGACCCCTTCTCCCCCGGGTGCAGGCGATGACCCTGGCCAAGGACATCCGGGAC